ACATAGAGTTGGAAGAGACCTCATGGGCCATCCAGTTAACCCCCTGCCAAGAAGCAGGAAAATTGCATTCAAAGCACCCCCGACAGATGGTCATTCAGCCTCTGTTTACAAGCTTCTGAAGAAGGAGCCTCCACCACACTCCGGGGCAGAGAGTTCCACTGCTGAACAGCTCTTACAGTCAGGAAGTTCTTCCTCATGTTCAGATGGAATCTCCTTTCCTGTAGTTTGAAGCCATTGTTCCATGTCCTAGTCTCCAGGGCAGCAGAAAACAAGTTCGCTCCCTCCTCCCTATGACTTCCTCTCACATATTTATACATGGCTCTCATCTCAGCCTTCTCTTCTTCAGGCTAAACATGCCCAGCTCTTTAAGCCGCTCCTCATAGGGCTTGTTCTCAAGACCCTTGATCATTTTAGTCGCCCTCCTCTGGACACATTCCAGCTTGTCAATATCTCTCTTCAATTGTGGTGCCCAGAATTGGACACAATATTCCAGGTGTGGTCTAACCAAAGCAGAATAGAGGGGTAGCATACTTCCCTAGATCTAGACACTATACTCCTATTTATGCAGGCCAAAATCCCATTGGCTTTTTTTGCCACCACATCACATTGTTGGCTCATGTTTAAGTTGTTGTCCACGAGAACTCCAAGATCTTTTTCACACTTAATATAATAGGTAGTCCATCTCAATAATTCTCACATGTTTTCAAAGCATTATCTCTTGGGACCTCAGAAGTGTTGCATCCCTTATAGGTCAACTCCTGGAAGGAGGATGACTTGCACTTTCAAAGTGTTTTACTATTTCTCCTCAGTCCTCATTCACAGTAATTTCAGCATTTTTAAAAAAGGAATCATAGAGTTATAAGGGACCTCATCAGTCCAACGCCTTCCTCACTGCAAAATCACCAGCTAAATCATCCCCAGACATTAGCTAGTCAGTCTCTTTTGGAAGACTTCTTGAGAAGTTGACACCATAATTTCTTAGGCAATTGGCTCCGTTGCCTAACTGCTCTTAGTGTCAAGACGTTCCTTCTAAAGTTCAATCAAGATCCACTCTGCTGTCTCTTCAAACCATTAGACCAGATCTTACCTTCAAAGGAGCAGCAGAGAAAAGGCCATGACAGCACTTAAAGTATATAAAGCATACAATCATATCACCTCTTGGTTCTTTTTTGTCACCAAAAAACTACTTCAAGTTTTCTTCATATGTTCTATTCTCACACCGTCTCTGTTGCCCTTCTTTGAACCTGTTCTAACATGCCAATAGCCTTCCTCAAACGCATTACTCCTTGAACGCATTACTCCTGATGGAACAGTAGTCCCATTGTCTCCTTGATCACTCTCTTGCCACAAATATAGCTGAAAAAACCTCCTTTTTCCTAGCCAATTGTATTTATTTATTTATTTATTTCAGGAACTTCTACCCCGCCCTTCTCAACCCCCAAGGGGGGGACTCAGGGCGGCTTGTAGCTAGTACTGCTCTTTAATTTTCTCTCTTGTAATCCTACAACCTTGAGTTACACATCTTTATTCTTCCTTGATTTGACCTTCCTTCATTTATCCATACTTTTTTGTCGTTTCACATTCTACTGAAATTTGATGTACATCTACACTGTCTTTTTTCAGATGTTTCCCATTTTGATTCTTTAATGGAATTGGGATAGTGCTTTTTGCAACCTTTCCTGGATATTGTTTTTCTTTCTTGTTAAAGAGCTCTCTGAGTTTTTCTTTCACAAGTCTAGCTGTGGGATTCCTTGTAGTATTTCCGAGAAATTGTTAAAATCCCAAAATCTAAGGTCCTTGTTTGACTACAGGTCTCCAATTTACAAACAAAATAGGTTCTGTAGGTTTGTTCTTAAGTCGAATTTATTTATAACTTGGGACAAGTACATGTTTTAAGTGTAACTCCAGCTATCTAACTATTTATCTACCTACTAGCTATACCTGCCATGCGTTGCAGTGGCCAACCTTCCTTCCCTCTTTCTCTCCTTCTCCCCACACCCTCAATCTCCTTCCTTCTCTCCCTCCATCTTTCCTTCCTTCCCTTTTTTCTTCCTTCTCTCCTTCCTTCCTTCTCTATCTCTTTTCTTCCTCCCCCTCCCTTTTTCTTTCTCTCCTTTCTCCCTTTTCTACCTATTCTTGGACTGTAACTCCCAGCAGTCCTCCTGATTGCTCTATCTACCTACTATCTATCTCTATCTCTATCTAATCTATATATCTTATCTATCTGGAGGATTGCTGGGAGTTGCAGTCCAGGAACAGGAAATAGGACATATGTACGGATTGAGATGCTTTCAAAGAAATCAAAGGAGAAGCAAGCTTGCGGCTTGGAAGCAGTGGATTTGGAGCACCCTCATCTCCTAAAAGGGATGCTGGGAGCTGCCATTTTTGTGCATACCCTGTATTGTCATTTAGCTTTTGGGGGTTTTAAAGTCCTTTCCGCTGTTTTTTTGGCAAGGGTTTATGAGTAATGGTCACTTATTGGTCTGTTAGGGGTGTAGTGTCCAAATTTTGTGTCAATTTATCCAGTTATGTTAATCCCACAAAAATGAACATTACATTTTTATTTATATAGATATATAAGCTTTGGCTAGCATAGGGAAATGTTAACACCCCTGTGGTGTTTGTTTTGCTGTCTGTGACCCTGTTCAGAAGATTTCACCACACTTTCTGTCCATGTGATCAATGGATTTTGAAAAATTTGGCTTGTTGTGGAAACAAGGATTGGTTAAAAAAAAAAAAGCCTCAGTGGAAACACCCTTTCCCCATGATAACTCTTTCAGGAGTGAATTTCCCTTCTGAGGGGTAGATTTCTCTGACTTCTTGTTGTCTTGCCCCATTCTTAACTATGAGTCATTTGTAAGTCAGTGTTTGTAACTCAGGAACTGCCTGTATACTCTTCTTTGCTGTGTTTTACAATTGCAAATTATAACATTGCATTGTACTGACTAATTTCATTCCAGAGATAAACTCCGCCAAGATTGCTGTTCCCCTTATTCCTTCTTTTATCATTTGAAAGAGGAAATTATCTGCAAAGCAAACCAGGAATTTGTTAGACAGCCTATGCTTAGCAAAGTGAAGGCCCTTCCACACAGTCCTATATTCCAAAATATCAAGGCAGAAAATCCCACAATATCTGCTTTGAACTGTGCTATCTGAGTCCACACTCAGATAATGTGGGATTTTCTGCCTTGATATTCTAGAATATAGGGTTGTGTCAAAGCGCCCTTAGTTTCCTTGCAGATATCAGAGTAATTTAAATCATATTTAACTAATCATTTCTGTTTCTGAAAAGCAACATCCATCACCTCTTCTTGGTTTGGCGACTTGTAATAAGATCTTACCATAATATTGATTTTCTTTCTTTATCCATTTATTTTTACCCAAATGCTTTCAGATGGTTTTCTCTGATAATTCGTAACAGGTTAATTCGGATTTCGGAACAGGTTAATTTATCTTTGATATATAATGTGACTCCCTCCCTTTTTCTGCCACACCTATTCTTTTTGAATAGGTTGTACCTTTCAATTTTACTATTTCATTTATGGGTGTCACCCCACCACGTCCCTGTTATGTTCATAAAATCATATTTGCTCAGAACTAGGACCTCAAACAGATCTTGTTTGTTCTCCAAACTCTTTTGTGTTGATGTACATAGGCTTTCACAAGCTACCTACATCTACACCTGCAATCTTTCTATTTCAATGCTTCTGAAGTAGTGGCAGGCAAAGAAAATACAGAAAGAGATTACTACTGTATTCTTTCTACCCACAGATCACTGAAACGGTAATTAGGAAAAAGAAAGGTATCCATACTGGCTATAAGAAAATTCTGAAATCTATACTAGTTTGGACACATGTATTAGATATTACCCCAACCAGAAGGGCACAAAACATGTACAAACTTTGGAGAACTGTAGATCTCTTCAAAAGGCAAAATGATCCAAAGATTATTACAGATAAGGTAACTAATATGGTTCAGCCAGGATGGGAAGGGATCCTATCTCACAGTATAGTATGATATTTTCAAAAATGTAGGGTCAAACCTACATGTCTAGCTCCAAAGGACTACTCTAGGAGAAAATGAAAAGCAGCCCATTGCCATTGCCGTTGTTGTGGATCATCCAGTTGGCCTTGATTTATAAATGACATGCAAGAGCATAGTTTGAATGTCTTCAGTCCTCTCTTTCCACAGACAGAATATCATGGAAACATTGGCTGGAATCTGCTTGGGCAGTTATGAATATATAATCTAGAGCAGTGGTTCTCAACTTTTTGCCTACAACTCCCAGAAATCCTGGGCAGTTTACCAGCTGTTAGGATTTCTGGGAGTTGGAGGCCAAAACATCTGGGTACCCACAGGCTGAGAACCACTGCCTTAGGCCATGAGTGACAGTCAACATCTTTTCTTTATTCATGATTTTGACATATGAAACTTCCAACATACCAGTTGGCAGGCAAAACAATCAAATGGAGGTCTGGTCCCCTGTTGCTCAAGAAGCAGCTGATTGATGTTCCCATCCCTTTGGCACAAGTGACCTCTGGTAGAAAAGGGAATTGCAGTAGGGACCCTGCTTCTGCCTATCAAAAAGAAGATTGCTCGCAGGAGGAGGTGAGGAAACCAGTCCTCAGCTTCCCAAGCAACAGGGAAATGGGTCCACTTAATCACAGTAACCAATGACTATTAAGTGGAAATTTGGAGGGCTGGGCTGGGATGCACCAAGTAGCTACATAACTATGGTCGTTGTGCCTTCATACGGGCACAAGTGGATTCCAGCTGTCATGGCTTCAATATTGACAGTTTCTGTGTCTCCCTTTCCCACAGCAAGCCTTCACCTGGAGAAGTTAATAATTCGTACACTTTTAAAAAATCTTTTTGGTTGGGCTAATAAAGATTTGTGATTTTGCAATGATTCAATTATATGAAAATTCAGAGTATAACAATAACTTATATGGATCAGAAATTATGTCCTTAATATCTGATTAAGAATTGCATACAGGTTGAGTATTCTGAAATATATGCAAATCCAAAATTATCTACATGGGTGGTTGAAATTGTGATGCCTTTGCTTTGTTATGGTTCAGTGTAATGTTTCATGCAAAAAATAATTACAAATATTTCTCTAAATAAAAATCAGTGCATACATGTCTGTTTGTCTGTGTGTCCATTTGTCCCACAAAGGCTGTTGCTAGGTGAAGTGATCTTCTGTGATGTCCCTGGGAAAGAAAGGTGACATGTTATGGATGGAAGGAAGGAAGGAAGGAAGGAAGGAAGGAAGGAAGGAAGGAAGGAAGGAAGGAAGGAAGGAAGGAGACACAGTGAGCCATGTTGTCGTGGAGACATTGTGAGGAAGATCTTCTCAGAGCTGGAGAAGGGAGAAGGGGGGGAGGAAGGAAGGAAGAAAAGATGAAAAAAGGGGGAAGAAAGGAAAGAAGGAGAGAGGGAGAAGAAAGAAAAAGAGGCATGGGTGGAAGGAAGGGGGAGGAAGGAAGGAAGGAAGGAAGGAAGGAAGGAAGGAAGGAAGGAAGGAAGGAAGGAAGGAAGGAAGGAAGGAAGGAAAAAGAAAGGGAAATGGGCATAAGGGAAGGGAAGGAGGTGGGAAAGGAATGGAGGGAGGGAGGGAGGGAGGAAGAAGGAAAGGAAAGACCGCAGGTGCGTAGTGGCTCCAACACTCAAGCAAATGCAGGCCATATATACTAATTCTGTATAAAATAACTTTCAAGCTATGCATGTAAGGTATATTTGAAAAATAAATAAATTTGGTCTGTAGGTTTTGGTCCTATCTCCAGAACATCTCATTGTGTACATACACACACATACAAAAAAATCCCAAATCTAAAACACCTCTGGTCTTAAGCATTTCAGATAATGCCTGTAATATGAGTAATTTCTCAGTCTCAGAGAATTTTAAGGAAAAATATACTCCAAACAACTTAAGAATCCAATTAAGGTTTAACCACTGTGTTACTATGTTAACAAGAATTCACTATCACAATGGGCTCTTGGTACCAATATCCATAGATGCTCAAGTCTCCTTATATATAGTGTTCTTATGTAAAATAATAAAGTGTTAGATGATTTCTGATATGGATTCATTTTATTTAGGGGCCTCAGTTTTCATTCTTTATCCTACATGTTTATGGAAAAAATGTATTACTTCAAATAATCTCACATCCAGTGAAGGTCAGTGATTTAATGCTTGGAGACCTAGTAAAACTGATCTGGTTTTAACCTGGACACAGAAATAGCTGCCCATGATCTTGAACTCAGAGTGCTCTTTAACATCTATAGAATCAGGAAGATTCATATTTTGGTGTGTGGGTGTGGGGGGGGGGGGGGAGAGGGAGTGGTGGTCCGGTTTCTCGATATCATGTGGAGAGTCAACTATGTCAGGCAGGTCATTGTTAATTTTGACCACTTGCAGGTATATTTTTACAAAACAATTAAAATGCAGAATATGATACATAAAAACCACCCTTCCCCTCCCTTCTTCCTTCTTTTCCTTCTTCAACTGCTTTGCAATGCAGAGATTACATAAGCATAACTGAAATTTCACACATGAAATGACTCTCATGCTCTCAGTAGGATTATGCTGATTTCAGTGAGCTACATAAACGTAATGCCTAGCCGCTTCTTTTTTATTTTGTTTTGTTTAGGACACTGCTGGACAAGAACGATATAGGACCATTACTACTGCCTATTACCGAGGAGCAATGGGATTTATCCTTATGTATGATATTACTTGTGAAGAGTCCTTCAATGCTGTCCAGGACTGGTAGGAACTGTTCATTGCTGGTCTCTGTTTTTTGTTTTGGTTTTGTTTTAACCCAGTTACCTGGCAAGCAAGTCTCTGACCAGCCTACACTGTATCCTCTGGGTCTAAGAGCAGAAAGGAAGTCTAATTGTTTAAAGAAATGTAAGACTTTAATCAAATTACATTGACTTTTTGAATTGACTCTGCTTGAGTCTATAAAGATTGGATGAGGACATCTTAATAAAGTTTTCAGCCCCATCCTGTGGTTGTTTGCAGAGAAATAGATGCTATTGAATTCAGGGGATTTGATCCCAAGTAGATATGCATAACATTGCAACTGTATCTTCAAGGATAGCTCATTAAGGCACATCAGGACAGTATTTTCCCCTGAAACTACTTTATAACCAAAATATTCTACGGATGGCATTCACTGTCAACCTCAAGTTCATTTCACAATGTCAGTGAATAATGTTAGTCTTGCCTAATGCTTATGTATGAGATATCAGAGTAATTATGCAAAGAGCTTATGTATTACTAGAAGCTATATATCATGCTAACATCCATGTGCCTATATGTTGTCAAACCTTCAAACTCTTCATATAGTTATTCAGATTCAGAATCTTAGGTTCTGAATTTGTCCTTGACTATTAATTTGTGCTTGAAATTAAGGGTGAGAAGTATGTCTCTTTCTAATCAAAAGGCTCAGATTTACTAGAGTCCCTTGTTTAAGAATCTTTAACTTAATTCAAAACATGAGACCCTTTCATGCTACACAAGTGTTTCCCAACTGTTTTTTGACCAGGGACTACTTGACCAGGGACCACTCTCTAATATTAGTATCCAAAGGGTTACGAATCAGTTTTTGGTCAACTTTAGATTCGATTTGGTTATTTGGGATGCTGATTCAGAAAATTGCATTGAATAGACTACACCAGCTCTAGTTTCTGATACAGAACATATGCCATCTAGTAGTCGCCATCTGTTCATCTAAAGAAAATCATATTTAATAAGCCTCGGCACTACAAGAGGGTTTCACGAGACCAGTCGCTCTCGTTGCAACGATGTAGTAATGGTGAGGCCATGGACCATATTTTAGTTCTTGTGGACCACTGGTGGTCCACAGACCATAGGTTAGGAACCAGTGTACTGCACAGTTCTAGCACTATGATATTACTTTGCCTCATGTTAAATTCTAGAATTTGTAGTTTGAGAGAGGTTTATTACTTTCTGACTGTGGATTCTCTCTCTCAGAAAACTACAGACATCAGGGGTCCACAATGCAGAACTGTGGCAGAGATAGTGGAACCATCGTATTATAATTACATAGTGTTAAAGGGCCCAAAGTGTTCAACTAAGACTTCACAAGATTTCATGGATTCTAGAACGTGGAGGTTTCTAAAACTAGGCTGATTGGAGTAGAGCTACCACTAAAGGTATCAGTCAGTAGCCACCATGGTAGAGTGGTTTTAGTTTTGGGCTAAGCCTCTGGAGACTAGGGTTTAAATCTTCACTCAGTCAAAGAAACTTGCTGCGTGACCGTGGCCAGGAACATCCTCTCAGCCTTAAAGAAAAGTGAGGGCAACCTCTTCTGAAAGTTTTTGTCACAAAAACTCTTGTTATAGGGTTGCCGTAAGTTGGAAATGGCTTGAAGCACACACCAACAACAACAATCCAGTTGAGGTTGTGGGGGTTTCCATGTATTCCAACCTCTGCCACTAAATATTGAACCTCTTCCTATCCCACTACTATAGCATCAAATGTGGGGACCTCCTAGATTCTTATCTGTGTGCTCATTATTCATTTAATCTCCCCAGTGGAGATTAATCACTACCTTTGATTAACTGCTGATGTGGAGCCCCCGGTGGCACAGTGGGTTAAACCCTTGTGCCGGCAGGACTGAAGACCAACAGGTTGCAGGTTCTAATCCAGGGAGAGTGCGGATGAGCTTCCTTTGTCAGCTGCAGCTCCCCGTGTGGGGACAAGAGAGAAGCCTCCCACAAGGATGGTAAAACATCAAAAACATCCAGGTATGTCCTGGGCAATGTCCTTGCAGACAGCCAATTCTCTCACACCAGAAGCGACTTACTCCTGACACATGAGAAAAAACAACTGCTGAAGTGTGTCTAAAGTCAAGCTTTCCAACATTCCTTACATAGAGTTTTCCGAGGCTCAAACATATCAAAAATAATTTATTAAACAGGAATTGAGCATTATATCAAAATTACTTATGTAAATACATTTTAATCATGGCTGATATTAATTTTAACTTGCATCTTTCTCATATTCTTAACACTGGCACTTATTTCTTGAACTCCTAGCTTAACTGACCCACATTCTAATTCTCCTAACATCTCAAATTCATATATCTAACCTTGAAAGACCCAACACTCTCTCTCATTTTCTTCCCTACAATAGCTACCTTATAAAAATCTATTCAAACATTCAGCCAATTAAGAGTCTAGTCAAACATTCCACTTTTATTATTCTCCCAATAGGGTCTTACTTCATTACAACTACTAAACATTTCCATATTTTACCATAATTTAAATGCAACAAAACTAAAAAAAACCCCTTAATATCATCACAGAGCTCCTCTAGTGAATAGTATACAACTAAATGATCATTTTTGTGCTGTTGCTTTCATGGGACTCAGATTACTATCATCTTCACTTGGACGGTGGTGATGATAATGATGATGGTTGTTTTAATGCAACTTTTAGTATCTTCACTGATTCGTAAAAACATAACTCCAAATAGTCAAAATTAGCAGTGCCCTGATTGTCAAAGGATTTCATGGCCGGAATCACTGGGTTGCTGTAGGTTTTTCGGGTTGTATGGACATGTTCTGGAAGCATTTTCTCCTGACGTTTTGCCTTCATCTATGACCTCAAAACCTTTGAGGATGCCTGCCGTAGATGCAGGTGAAACATCAGGAGAGAATGCTTCTAGAACATGGCCATACAGCCTGAAAAACCTACAACAACACAGTGTCCTGATTGCCAATGTTGAGCCCGCTCCCTTATAGTTATATGGTTCATGTAAGCTTCTGAGCACCTCCTTAACGGGAAGCATCAAAATAACTTGTCTTCTGTGCCATTAGGACAGTCCACCTACAGAGATAGCTTCTGGCTTATGCAGCTGGCTGGAATTTCACTAATGTTTCCTAGTGGCTTCTGGATCACTAGAGGAGAGCATATACTCCAGATTTTACTCTGACCATTTAAGGAGTAACCCATGATGCTGAACCCTAGCCCTCTTAAAAATATTTTTAGTACTTTGAAGGTTCAAACTGAAACATTCATCTGATTCATGAATTTTCCAGCGTAATAGCAACCAGTTGCCATAGATTGAAAGATTACACCATATCCTGGCTACACAGCTTGAATAGAGAATACTACATTGTGTTTAAATATACTGTTCCTATTTTGACCATGACTCCCATCAAGGTTAGTCAGATGTCATGGTGCTAGTTGAAATTTCAGGGAACTTCTATGCTTCTCTGGGTTTTTATGCAAGGAGACAAATCTGAAGGGAAGCGGCACTAGAAGAGGAGAAAGACTGATTTTTGTATGTGGCTTCAAAGCCTACTCACCTGTCTTCATTCTCTGTTGCTGCAAAAGCTTCCTGACTTAAGTCTAGAAGTGTTAGTATGTGTGTTGTTTTCATTCAGTGTCATTGTACGCACAAACCAGAAGCAAAGAGAGGAGACCAGGGAGAGAGATAATGGATGGTTGCACTTGTGCCATTTGGAGAAAAGCGGGAAGCGGTGTGTCAGTGTTCACGACCTTATTATACAAGCCCTGGCAGCAGTAGTATGTAGAATATATGGAAAATATATTCTCCAGTTCCTACACAACCTCACCAGTTCTGTAGACATGGGGGGGGGGGGATTTGTGTGTCATGTAAGTCTACATGACAAGACTACATGACAAGTGAGTATGAGGAATAAATGGCAATTACTAACCTTAAAAAAATCTTGCAAATCTCTTGAGAAGACAGGTGGACAAATGTCAGCATTCTGGAAGAAACAAAGACAGCCAGCATTGAGGTGATGATTCTTCATCATCAACTTCGCTGGACTGGCCACGTTGTCCAAATGCCTGATCACCATCTCTCAATCAGTTGCTCTTTTTTCAGCAAATAAATAGTCAATGGAATGTCAGTGGACAACAAAAGAGATTTAAAGATAGGCTTAAAGCAACTTAAGGAAATGTGGAATACACAGAGAACTGGGAAGCCCTGGCTCTTGAGCGTTCTAACTGGAGGTCAGCTATTATCAACAGTGCTGTGGATTTTGAGGGTGAAAGGGAGAAATGTATCAAGAGGAAGGTGTGTCAAGCAGATCCTTGTCATAACTGCCTTCCATCTGGAAATCTATGTCCTAACCGGTCTCCACATTCATTTACCGAACACTGCCAAGACTCTACACTTGGAAGACAATCATACCCAATCACGACTGATTGCCTGTAATATATTAGCTATATTTTACCATCTTCCTGGCCATTGACAAATGGCTCTTTGTTATAATATTATCTGCCTATCCAGGTTTTTCTTAATTCTGGGTCTACTTACTAGATTCATATTTCCTCATTCCAAAAGCAATTCCATATGCCACCTTTGCCTGCCCTAGCTCTACTACATTGCAGAAGCCCATTCTAATACCATCACAAAGATACCCCATTGAAGTTTGGTCTATAAACTTTGGGGAAATAGGGTGCTGCTGTCCTGGCAGTCTGTTTTGGCATTGGTGATGGCTGTTTTCTGATTCAACTGATGCTACCTTCCTTATTTCGATATGCACTATTTGGAGTTCTAATCTTAGTTACCGGTAATATTTAGCTTCCTTCTTTTTCCTTTCCTTTTCCATGTGCATGTGAAGGTTGTTTCTGCTCATCTATCTGAGTTGTCAAAGAATTTATAAAGCACAGAATGGCAGGATAGGACAGAGGGAAAAGAGACATGTTAATTGAATGCTTCCTATCCACGAACGACCCATGGATTTTGAGAGGGAAATGTAGGAAAAGACCATTAAGTCCAAGATATAAAATGCTCTAGCTGCAGTAATGTATATGTAATAGGAAAACATTTGACAATTGCCGCTGGTTCATCTTGAAGAAGGGGTAACATAGGAGATCACCTACTTAGGATCTCATCACACTAGAGAATGAATCCACTTTAAATCCGGTTTCTGCCTCCTGCAGAATTCTGGGCTTTGTAGTTTAGGGAGGCTGTTAAAGGCTCCTCCTTAAACTACAAATCCCAGAATTCTGCAGGAGGCAGAAACCAGATTTAAAGTGGATTCATTCTCTAGTATGATGATGTCCTTAATTTCTGTAAATCATATGGCTATTGAGGATATAGGAGCCATGCCAGGAATGAAAAAGTGGCAATCCTGTCTCCCTCATGATGTAACATTTCTCCAGAAGCTGAAAGCCTTTTATCTTTTAAATCACATCTTCTTGCAATAATTATTTCACACATCAGACTAACAGTTCTAATTAGAGAGGTGGATTTTCATTAACTGAGAACTATTTTTCTTGTAAGAATTGCACTATGTCAGTTAAGATGTGATCAGCAGCCTCTATCATGCATGGAGACAGAGGCTGTGTTTACATAGCCAAAATAATGTGGACTCACCATTGAGTTGCTGAGGTGAATTGAGTTGTTGCATGGGCCACTGCATCCAAATGTAGTGAAACACAGGATTTACTTCAGAACTTCCTGGAAGCTCCAGAGTGATCCCGGAGTGTTAGGCTCCTTCCACATAGCTGAATAAAATCCCATATTATATGCTTTGAATTGGAATATATGGCAGTGTGGACTCAGATAACCCAGTTCAAAACAGATATTGTGGAATTTCTGCCCTGATGTTCTGGGATATAGGGCTGTGTGGAAGGCCCATAGACTTGCAGACAGCTGGACTAGGCTTGATCCATCCTAGTCCCCTGTCCACACCACCAATGGGTCCCTTGTGATCAACCAGCAGTTCTCTCCAAGCATCAGAGCAGTTCCAAAGCTCTTTAAGACATAGTTCTTATGTAAGTGTAGACATGGCTAGTGTCCAGCGGTGCAGTTACTTTTAAGGCTTTTCAGGTATATTTGAGTAATTACTGAGTTTCTATATAGAATGTATTTATTTTTATTATATTTTTCCCAATTATGAAAATAATTTAGTAGGACTTCTTCAGTGATCACTACTAATAGAAGCTTTAGAGTGACCACTTGAGAGTAATTAGCTCTTCTGTCTTGAAAGTGGAGGGAGCCATCACAAGGTCTGCCCCCCACTGTCACTTCGCTTGTCTGATAAAATGTGCTTGTGGGCAAATTAACTTTTGCAGCATCTTGAAAACTTCAACATTGTTATTTTTGCAAGGATTTAGATTTCAGAAAATCACCTTGTATCCCATGAAAATTAGAGATGAAACCATATTTTAGAAAAAATCCAACTTAAAAATATTTCTTTGAATTATTTCTTAGTATTTCCTTCAGTGGGGCAGGTTCTGGGGAAGTGGGATGAGATTGGGGGGGGGGAGGGATATGACTTCTAAAGGGCATTTTGGTGTTTTTACTTTATTTTAATTCTGGTTTACCACATTGTTACTATTTAATTGTATTTTTAGCTTTTGTATTTCTCTTTTTAAATTTGTCTCGTGTGGATTGTTAGCTGCCTTCAGTCTCCATGAGGAGAAAGGCGGGGTATAAATGAAGATAGTAGTAGTAGCAGTAGCAGTAGCAGCAGCAGCAGCAATAATAATAATAATAATAATAATAATAATAATAATAATACACCAGACATCATGATTGTGGAAAAGAAAAAAGTTTGGATTATTGATGTCGCCATACCAGGTGACAGTCACATTGAGGAAAAACCACAGGAAAAACTCAGCCTTATCAGGATCTCAAAATTGAACTGCAAAGGCTCTGGCATAAACCAGTACAGGTGGTCCCAGTGGGTGCCGTGCCAAAAGATCTCAGCCAGCATTTGGAAGTAATAAACATTGACAAATTCACAATCTGTCAACTGCAAAAGGCCACCTTACTTGGATCTGCGAGTATCATTCAAAAATACATCACACAGTCCTAGACACTTGGGATTTAACTTGTGATTTTGTGATATGAAATCCAGCATATTTATCTCGTTTGCTGTGACATACTGTGTTTTTGTGTCAGAATAGTAGTAGTAGTAGTAGTAGTAGTAGTAGTAGTAGTAATAATAATAATAATAATAATAATAATAATAATTCAGTGCCAATACGTGATCATTGTTCAGGAAATTAATGTGGTTATTTATGTAAAGGGTTAATAGTGGCAGGCTACTGTACACTTATATAGTAAGATGTTCCCCCAGTTTCATGTGTGACAAAATAAATAATAGTTTGTTTACCACTGTTTGTTGCATAAGACACAAATTAACATGGCAGATAACTAACCTAACCAAACGATAGGTTGTCTTCCCTAATACTCATTTATTTGTCTGCTGTCTCTTTCCATTCATTCTCTCAGGATAGGGAAACAAAACATGAACAAGACACAGTTGCAGATCCAGATGTCGCTAAAATAATCGTTTAAGTAAACGATTAAATAAGCTACGAATTGGAAACCAGGGATTCAGACTGTTGCTTTGGCTGGCTAACAAAGATGTCTTGTTTGCAAAACTACGTTGATCTGTCATAATACATCAGATTTCAGAGAACTAAAACACAGTTTGTTATGATATGAGAACACGGTCTTTTGTCTTGAAATCTAGATCTCAGTGACAATCCAAAAAGCTGACCAGTTCTGGTTGTTTTTGCCTTAGCAGATACTATTTCTGTGTTCTCTATATTTCTTCCAAATCTCCTTTGAATACAAATATTTCCCAAGAGGGATAAAATATTGGTGATCTAAAATCTTGCTCTTGTGACTTCAAGTTATTTCTGACTTATCCCCCCATAAAGAAAACCATGGGATTGTCTTGGCAAAATGTGTTTAGAGGAGGGTTTGCATTTGCCTCCCTCTGAGACTGAGAGAGTGAGAGACGCCCAAAGTCATCCTATGTTTTTCCATGGCCAAGTGGGGATACAAATCTTGGTCGCCCCAGGACTTCTCAGACAGAGCTGCGGAAAACAGGGAAAACAGGGGGAGTTGCCTTCTTTGCATGTGGAATTATCATCTTTGTATGGCATTCCATCTTTAAAGAAAATGGAGAATTTCCTTTAAAGATGGAATGCCATACTCTTCCCTGCTTAACCATCTTTTTAGAGAAGACAGGAGGCATCATTTTTAAGACAGACACCATTTCTTTCCATAGGCTCCTTTCCTTTCCATTCTCCTTACTCTCAATTGCAGAAGTCCAATACCTACTAGGCAACACTGGCAAATTTGACAGATCCCACCACCTCTACTCCCACCCCCACTTTCTCCTCTTTCATGTGCATCAGGACCTCAAAAGACACTTTCTAACCGGCTCCAGTTCCCCCATGTTTCCCTACACTTCAGAGACAGTTCACAAATGAAGCAGCACAGGCAAAAGGCAAAAGTCACCTTGCATCATATGATGAGATCCATGTTGCTTCATATTAAGTGTGTGGAAACAGACAAGATCTTGTTTGTGATGAAGTCAGTAGTGCAGGACTCAAACCACTGCACCAGGCTAGCCCTTGGCCTGAAATCTGTGGAGATATAATATGAAAAGCCAAATAAAAGAGAGAGGTTTAAAAACCGTAAAGTAAAAATGCAAAGAGGACAGATTGTTCACAAGTGGCAACTTGCTATGAAGAAGCCTTCCAAAGCTAGAAAAACACACCATCAAAATTAATGGCAGAGGCCAAATTAAGCTCTCAGCTTCATTGTTTTGTCACTTTATAGAGGTGACTGAAGTTTGTACAGATAAGAGCATCTACTGCCCACTATTTTTCCCTTCCAAGAGCCATCTTCTTTTGTTTGACTGATAATGAAGAGCTCTTGTCTCCAAAAGGAGGAAAATGAACTCGATAATAGAAAACTCAGGAGGAATGGAAGTCGGGTGACAACAACACCTAAAATGCTAGGAGTAATTTTTATTTAAAAACAAACTCACAAACTGACTGATGTACTGTAAAAACAGCAGGGTGTCTATAAACAAACCTTTAAAAAAACTGTTCTTAGCCAATTTGCAAGATGATATGTACAAGGAGAAAGCAACACTTGTTTGCCTGTTTAAGGAGAGATTCTGCAAGCTACTGGAAAAAACCCAGTGAAGATTTATCTCTTGTGATGTTTTTAAATTGCTTTGCAAAGGTATTGCCATATGTCCTTGAAGAAAGCAATCTTTTCAGAGTCAAAACATTCAAAGCCTTTAAATTAGTTAGTGCGCTCTCATCTGATTTAACTTATTTTTGAAACCAAAAGAACTCATTTCAAGACGATAGTGGAGAAAGTTTTAAACCTTTAGGGGACAAAACGTTTCTTGCGAAATGGCTGCTCTGCTGAATTTTTTAATAAGGAAACAAAGTTTGCATAAATTTTGATGGTCTTGGAAGGAAATGTGTGTTTTCGTGCAACAGAACAACATGTCATGCAATAAAAGATCATTTCACCTGATGCAAATCACATGAAAAATAATGATTCTGTGATTTAAGTAGGCATGTAAACAATATATAGAGGAATAAATTAGGAGTTTTGGCATATAAGGTCAGTATTCCATCTGGAAAGGAAGTGGGAGAGCTATCTGTTGTTGTTGATGATGATGTTGTATGTCTTCATGTTGTTTCTGATCTATGGGGACCCTAAGGCAACCCTACCACAGCCTTTTCTTTCCCAAGATTTGTCCAAAGTGGACTTGTCTTTACCTCCCTCTTGCTATAAAAAATTTGACCCCAAAATATGAAACCCAGAGTCCGCGGCTCAATTTGGGCAGGCAGCGAGCCTGTGTTGACCTCTCCCTTAATTCTAAGCTAACCTTCAATGAACTTCTCTCCAGAATGTTGCCTAACCTTTTCCCACACCCCAGACTTCAGGGAATAACCACACGTTTAACCTAATCCCTTTATAATACCTTGGTAAAGTCACAGAAAACACATAATGGGTCTCTCAGAAGAGCCACAAAGGTTGTCATAATATTATCTGATTTTTATCCTGGAAACATTTCCTCATCTATAGTGTTGTGCCAAATCCCCTTCTGTGACTGTCTCCATTTTATATGCTAATAACCTGAATACCCTTTTTTTGTTTGGTTGGCACCCATTGTTCAAGCCTGGCACTGGGACATCAAGACCCATTAACTCTTGATGAGTTGCATTCCTTTCCAAGTTCACTTTGTTCCTGGGAGGATCCATAGACAGATGCAAGCCTTCAAATTCACCAATTATACTTTATTAGATTGCCCGCCTCTCCTTGGAATCAATCAGAGGTGAGAGTGGGCTTGTGTCTCCTCCATTGAGGTGGCAGTAGGATTCCACCAGGACCAATGAATGATAGGCATAGCAAAGTCTTATTGTTCTGTATTACTGTCAATGCACTGTAAACAGATCCACGTGTGCGCAATTGCAGGTATGTCAGTCTTTGGAGCGCAGACTCTGCGGGCATCCGCCTTGGCCAAGGTGAATAAAACCTCGGATTTTGCCTTCAAGCTGTCTGTTTCTTATGTGGCCTTTTGGAAGCTTGGCGCACTGGGCTTTGAACTGGTGGTTTTTTTGCAGTAGCTGAAATCACACATCACTCCGAGGCTGAAAGTGTGTGACTTGTATTTATTTATTTATTTATTTACTTTGCTTATATACTGCTGTTCTCAGCCCGGGGGCGACTCACAGCGGTGTACAACATAGAAAGAACAAAATTCAAAAATTCAAGACATAATATAAAATCCACATCCAGCATTAAACAAAAACATCATCATCAAAAACATCATCATTACTACGAAAGCCATTCGGTTAAGGTCACCCAGTGAGTTGGCTAAGGTCACCCAGTGAGTTTCAAGGCTGAAGGCGAATTTGAACCCCGATCCCCAGAGTCATAGTCCAAGGCTCAGCTACTATATCATGTTCACATCTATACCACTGAAGGCAATACCCATCCAGATTTCAGAACACTGTAGACAATTAGCTCCTGAGAGATCACATCTATGTGTCTTTGATCACTGCTAGCCCTGGGGCCCAGGATAGACATGCCTTATTTTTTTAAAGGTGCTTCAAAGATCTTATTTTAACATAAACACTCTGTAAACATATTCATGTTGGCCATGCAAGAAAATACAACAAAATCCACGAACAGCAATACCTTTATTGGCCAGCCAAAACACACATCATACAAACTTTGAAAAGCTTACTGGCTTCTTTGGATGAATTTATTAAAAATCATACTGGAGATGAAAAGGTACAATGTTTGAGTTAGGAATATAAACATCATACCTTGAAGACTATTGGAAAACCAGAGTAGCATTTCCTTTTAAGGATGTAATATCAACACTGCTACCACTTTTGATTGGATGCCTATTTCTAAATCATCAACAGACCTTTAATGTTATTGCAGCACTAGAAATTTGGTGACTGGAGGAAAATTTCATAGGAAGGAGCAATGCCCTCATTTAACTAAGGCTGGATCTACACAATTTTAAATTGTACTAAATGATAATTTTTTGTTAATGTTGTTTATCATGTATTGCTCATATTTTTGTATTATTGCTTGTTGTAAGCCACCCCAAATCCCTTCAGAGAGAGGGGTCAGGGTATAAATTAAATTATTATTATTATTATTATTGTTGTTATTATTATTATTATTTTACTGCTATATAATCCAGTTCAATGCTGTTGATCTGCATTCTGAAACTGCATTACATGGCAGTGTAGAACCAGCCTAAGTAAACTGTATGTCTATGTTAATAATTAAATATATGCATGCTGTAACTAGCACAAAATTCCAAAATGTGAGAAAAACAGGAAAATAGTGAAGAGTAACTTTTTAAAATAACTGTCAAGGGTCCACCATAATGTAAACAAAATTACAGGTGATATGTATTAACAATTTTTTATATATTTTAGCTCCCCCTGCTGGATTTGAATGTGCATATTTGACAAAAATGTCATCCATAGGAAAGATAAAAACAGTATAATTGTAGCTTTTTGTTGTTGTGTCTTCAAGTAATTTCTGATTTATGGTAATGTTAAAATGAGTCTATCATGGGATTTCCTTGGCAAGAATTGTTCAGAGAGGGTTTTCCTTTGTTTTCCTCTGAGGCCAAGGGCCCTTCCACACAGCCATATAACTCAGAATATCAAGGGAGAAAATGCCACAATATTTACTTTGAACTAGGTTATCTGAGTCCACACTGCCATATATTCCAGTTCAAAGAAGATAATGTGGGATTTTATTTAGCTGTATGGAAGAGGCCTAAGAGAGTGTGACTTGCCCAATACCAGCCAATGGGCTAAATGGGAATTAAGATAATTACCAATCTGTACTTTCAGTCCCTGAAGCAATGCAGTGAGTTATAAAATGGTATAAAAGTTAATCGATTTTGTTCATTTGACTCCTACTAATAAATTAAATTGCTAAATTTAAACAGGTTTTCATTCCTCCAGAACTTCATTAGAGATGACTAAGGGTGTATATCCAAGGGCAAGATGGATGGATGGCATCCTTGAAGTGACTGGACTGACCTTGAAGGAGCTGGGGGTGGTGACAGCTGACAGGGAGCTCTGGCGTGGACTGGTCCATGAGGTCACAAAGAGTCAGAGATGACTGAACGAATGAACAACAAGGGTGTATATGCTGTAGAATCAATACAGTTTGACTTCACTTTAACTGTCATAGCTCAATGCTATGGAATCATGGGAGTTGTAGTTGTGCAAGGTATTTAACAACCTCTGTTAAAGAATGCTGGACCTGCACCAAACTACAACTCCCATGATTCCATAACATTGAGCTATGATAAAGTGTCAAACTGCATTAATTTTGCAGTGTAGGTGCAGCTATTAAACTGGAAAGGCAAGATTATAATATAATAGGCAAAATCTACTGAGAATTGCTGGATATAACGGGTACCTGTAATACAGTAGAGTCTCGCTTATCCAACCTTCGCTCATCTAATGTTCTGTATTATCCAATGTAGTCTGCCTCCTGCACAGATCCACAGCTGTTTCAATACATTGTGATGTTTTGGTGCTAAATTCGTAAATACAGTAATTACTACGTAATGTTACCATGTATTGAACTGTTTTTTCTGTCGATTGGTTATAAAACATGATATTTTTGCTGCTTAATTTGTAAAATCATAATGTAATTCGACCTTTAATAGGCTTTCCCTTAATTCCTCCTTATTATCTAATATTTTCGCTTTTCCAATGTTTTGCTGGCCCGTTTATGCTGGATAAGTGAGACTCTACTGTATGTCAGCTTCACATCTTTATTATGGAAAAAATACACCATAGCTTCCAGAACATATCAATCTGGAATTTCACTCTGGTACTGTTCCATTATCTGGGGGCGCCACAAGGGGGCGCTAGGCAGAAAAGGATAGTCCATTTTATTGGAGAGAGGAGAGATAAAGGAGTTAAACTATTTCCCCCTGTTTTCCTCTTATTCCCCCAACTATTGTTTATGACATGGGAAGGGGGGGACGACCAGCAAAAAAGGAGAAAATTGTTGTTCTCCTTCAACCCCCCCCCCCCCCCGACTATTCTTCTCTGCCCGGATAATGGAACATTACCTTTACTCTTGCTCAGAAATACTATTACATTGATTAATCTACTGAATTAAAAGGAATCCAGAGATTTGGAATTTATCATTGGTATTTTCCTGGCAACCTAGGACATATACCTGAAAATATAACATTACATAATTAGGGAGAGCTATGATAACAAGAGCTGTTTGACAAGTGAATATACTGACTCGGAGTGTGGTGGAGTCTCCTTCTTGGGAGGTTTTTAAGCAGAAGTTGGATGACCATCTGTTGGGAGTGCTTTGATTGTATTTTCCTCCATGGCAGGGGATTGGACTGGATGGCCCTTGGGGTCCCTTCCAACACTACAGTTCTAATTCCTGTATTAGAATCAGCTATTAGTTGAACTGTTTCTGGAAATACAAACATGCTGATGCTACGTAAGCCAAAAATATTTTAGCAGTGTTTCAGTGAACAACCACTGCTAATTACTTAATTGTTACTGACAGTCCTTTCTCCCTTTAATTTCCTTTGCATGCACTGCCTGCAGTAACCCATGTCCTGTACATCTGCTTCAAACTGAGATGTCTAATGAAGTGAGCTATAGTCTACCAAAGTTCAGTATATAGTAACTGTATTAGCCTTTGAGGTGCCACAGTACTCGTTGTTGTTTTTGATATGTCTACACTACAAAGTTATAGCATATTGATCCCACTTTTAACAACCATGATCTAAGGAATGTGAAGAGTTGTTGTTCGTTAAAATAATTAGAATTCTTCAACTCTGCTACTGTGAACTTCAGCACTAGTAGTCTATAGCAGATGTATTTAAATATCTAACCAAAGTATTAATTCCATATGGGATAGAACTATGGAAAAATAAACTGCATCTACCAGCTAGTAGATAGTTCCCTTTTGTGCAGATAGTACACTCCAAGATGTTGCTCTCCAGTGCTGAACTGCAATGTTTACTAACACCTCTAACAAAGGATACCCCCAGGCAGCAACCAGCTAGGCTTTGAAGCTGCAAGACCATTAAATGCTAATCAAGGTGGTCAATTGCAACATTCACACTTGCCCCAAGCAGACAAGAGTTATTTCTCCCACCCTGGACATTCCACAAATATATAAACCTCACTTGCCTAGTTTTCAACAGACCCCTCAACCTCTGAGGATGCCTGCCATAGATGTGGGTGAAATGTCAGGAGAGAATGCTTCTGGAACATGGCCATACAGCAACCCAACTGAAAGTTTTTCATGAAAGTTTAACAGTCTTTCTTGTTGGTATTTCAAAGGATATATTTATTTTAAAATTTCCTATGTGAGAAAATTTGAATCAGTAAATATTCAAAAGTTTAGGTATTCAATGGAAGTCCGAGAAATAGGAAGTCAGCAATATTATTGACATTGTTGTCTCTTTACAAACTGCATATTTTTGTTCCATTATGGTTGGAGGTTTTCACCTATTAGCAGTTCAGGTTGTGCTATATTATTATCTGCTGTTCTCACTACAAACAACTTTCTTTCCTCCCAGGGCCACTCAGATCAAGACCTACTCCTGGGATAATGCTCAAGTCATTCTGGTGGGGAACAAGTGTGATATGGAGGATGAGAGAATAATTCCTATTGAAAAAGGAAAACATCTGGCTGATCAGTTGGGTACATGTTAAAAGCTTTTCTTTTTCTCCCCTATCCCTTTTCCTTTTAATTTTAGCTCCACATTTTTAGGCTTTAATAGCACAATTTATTGGAGACACAGCTTGTAATTGATTAAGTATACCAGTTGTTGCCTGATTGATCACACTTGTTTTTTTATAATGCTATTTAATGCTAGTGTTTAGACATCATGGTAGGACTAGTCCTCCAGATGCTGATGATGTAGTATCCCAGTGGTTTCTCACCACTGGACTTACGGGAATTCCAATTCAACAATGTATTTAAGAAGTATTTTATCCTAAACTTCCAACAATGCAATTGAAAAAATAGACTGAAAGATAAGTTTCATGACCAAATAGAATCTTGATCTGGATCTATTCGCCTCCATATTCCAAGTTTATCTTATAATAATAATAATAATAATAATTATTATTATTATTATTATTCCACACTTCTCCCCGAGGAGACTCAGCGGATTACAGTATATAAGCAGACAGAGGCAAACATTCAATGCCTTATTACAATGACGTACAATGAGACACAAACACACAGGCAAAGGCTTCTCCTTTCATTTCCTGCTCTGAATGAGGTGCTCATCCCCAACTCTGGGCAAGGTGCTCTTTCTCCATTTCCAGGCTGAGGAGCCTGTGTCTGTAGACACCTCCTGGTCATGTGGTCAGCATGACTGCTTAGAGTGTCTTTTTGCCTTTTCCCGCTGAAACGGTATCTATTGATCTACTCACATTTGCATGTTCTCAAATTGCTAGGTTGGCAAGAGCTAGGGCTAACAGCGGGAGCTCACCCCATCCTGTGGATTCGAACTGCCAACCTTTAGGTCAGCAGTTCAGCAGCACAAGGGTTTAACCCATTGCACAAACATAGCCTCCTCTGAACTCATTAAATCTCTCTCACACCAGAAGCGACTTGAAAGAGTATCACTTTTTTCTAGTCCCAGATATACCATGCTTATAATGACAGAGAAAGCAATGTGTTAAAATATGAAGTTAGCATATTTATTGCTCTCGTGAAATATTTGTGCACAAACATAAATGGCTTTTGGCTTCTGGCTTTAGTGAGAGTCTATAAAGTAGGTGGGCAAAGTGTGGCTTCCAAACTGTTTTGGTGTCCCTTAAACCCTGCAATTTCCCTAGGCAACACTTTTTCTATTGGAAATCTCCAGACAAAAGAGTTTACTTCTTTGAATTTATCTCACTGTTTAACATTAAGAAAACAACAGTTGTTCCTAAACCACAGACTTCTTACCACTTCAGGCTTTTGAAGGAGGGTCATTTTTAAAATCTGTGCAGCTTTGGTATATAATTGAATATCGAGACTGGGATTATCCATGCCATAATATTTCCAGTTTCTACCTATGATTATGGAGCCCCCGGTGGCGCAGGGGTTAAACCCCTGTGCCGGCAGGACTGAAGACCGACAGGTCGCAAGTTCAAATTCGGGGAGAGGCGGATGAGCTCCCTCTATCAACTCCAGCTCCTCATGCGGGGACATGAGAGAAGCCTCCCACAAGGATAATAAAAACATCAAATCATCCGGGCATCCCCTGGGCAACGTCCTTGCAGACGGCCAATTCTCTCACACCAGAAGTACAAGTACAAGTCCCAGGCTTTAATCGTATGGCACTATGGCAGTTTAAAATAGTATGAAACTGCTTTAATATTGCAGTATATATACACCCAACACTGTGTTATAGGATGTGAAGTAAGCAAGCACCAGTGAACTCCTTGACTTCAGTTTGATCAGGGATAATATGAAGTAATGCAAAGTAACACATTTTTTTCTGAGCTCAGGTCCTTGCTTATACACCTTTATTTCAAATTTCACTCTAAATTGCAAGAAAAAAAATCAGTAATTGCGGCTTCTAATACAGACGGAGGCTCTTCCTCCTTGATCAGAACTCTTTTGCTGAACTCATCCACTTTACTTGCTCTTATGATGTCAGCTTCTCTGCTTAAACAATATGAAGAGCAACCAGAATATATATCTTATGTCCCCAAGCCATTTCCATGTTTCAGTTTGAATCAGCTTCAGTGGTTTCGTCATCACTTTTAAAGCTCTTCCTTTTGTCCCTAACACATCCATCTCATCATCTTTTGTCCCTTACACACCCTGAAATTTACTGAGTTTATATTCTGCTTTGATTCAGTCTGACAGCTGCAGTTTTGCTTTCATCCTAGTATTGTCTCCAAGGCTTTGTTTTATTCAGATATTCACATAATTGACTATATATTATTTTACAGGAAACATATATGTCTGTGTCTACCTTCAAGTTGCCCACTGACTTATAGAAATTTAATGGGGATTTTTAGGCAAGGAATATTCAGGGGTGGGTTTGCCAGTTTCTTGCTCTGGATTATCACGTAAAACACCTGGTGTTTGCTGGCAGTTTCCCATCCAAGTACTAACTAGGGCTGGCTATGCTTTGTTCCTAAGATCAAACGGGCTCCGGTACCTTTAGGGTATTTAGGTTTGCAGGAAACATTGCTTTTCAAACAGCTCAACAGTGAAGGCAATATATGAAGTTTTAACTGCAGCCATACAGGAACAGGCATGCCTTGGCATACATAAAATAGAATGTCACTCATTTGCCTTTTAATTAGTCTGTGTTAAAATTGCATGTTCATTTAGAACAGCTGGTCTGAAGCAAGACTGTTAGGAATCTTACATAATAATTTCAATTCAGCCATTGCTCTTTCCCCTCCTTTCCCCAATGTTTGCAATGTTCACCATTGCCAGTTGTCACATCTGCTGTTCTGTCCTGGTTCTCTGCATCATGTATTTTTTTAATCTTTTCAGATTTTTGAAGACATAATTGAATGTATAATGAATGACAAGTTTAAAAATAATAACTCAGTAATGTAAATATTTGCTCGTTTGGCAAGAGAGTATTCAGTCTGTTTGTGGGATTTTCTTTAATCCTCATTTTTATTAAAACACTTCTCATTTTAAATCCAGTTCTCAACTTCCAAATGTTATCTTTGTGACTAAAGGGCACACCACATTTTTGAAAGCCAACAAATTGATTCCTAACTCTATCTGATTCCTTTTATGAATGTTTCTAGTGGTGATCTGGAGCTGGAATGTCCTAGTTTGTAGCAAATTGACTATTAAGATGTTTTCATTCTTCTCTTAATAATATCAATATTTCTGCCACTAACAGATCCAGGTATTATAAAATAGCAGCATTTTAGAAGTCCTTTGTGGGCTTTTAAATCTAAATCTTAATTTTTGGAAGTTCTTTGTAGGCTTTTGAATCTTAGTTGTTATAAACATCGCCTCCAATTGCCACTCACTTTCATAAATAATTAAAATCCACAAGCAGCTATGACTTTTTTGGGCCAACACAAAAATACATTATCCAAGCTTTCACTTGGATAATTCACTGGTCACTTTCTCAGGTAAAGATGTGAAAAATCGTACAGAATAAAAACGGCAAAGATGTTAGAGTTATAGGCGTTATATATAGAACACATTTAGAAGAAAATTGCCATGGTGAACATCTGATTATAGTTCTTCAAGGGCAGAAACATTAATGAAGAAGGAGACATATGACTATAGGCAGTACCCAAGTTTCAAACAAAATTGGTTCTGTAGGTTTGTTCTTAATTGGAATTTGTAAGTCAGAACAGGTACATTTTTAAAGTGTAACTCCAGCTATATCTATATCTATATATCTGCATGTATGCTTTGGATAGCATAGGAAAGGGTTAACACCCCTGTTGTGTTTGTTTTGCTGTCTGTGCCCCGTTCAGAAGATTTCACCTCACTTTCTGTTCCTGTGAGAATTGGATTTTGGAAAATTTGGCTTGTTGTGGAAAGGAGGATTGGTGAGAAAGCTTCAGTGAAGACCCTTTTCCTTCATAACTCTTTCAGGAGTGAATTTCTCTTATGAGGGGTAGATTTCTCTCACTTAGTGTTGTCTCACCTCCTTCTCAACTACTAATTATTTGTAAGTAGGATGTTTGTAACTTGGGGACTACCTGTCCTGTTAGACTACAGTGTCCATTTCTTCTCTTCATTGGCTGTGAAGGTTAGGACAGATGAAAGTTGGAGTCTGACAGCATCTGGAGGTTCACATAAGATACCTTTGCCCTAATCTGATCAGAAAGTCCTACAGTTGACATTCATATATTTGATTATATCAGTTGTTTCTGCTTCTTCTCTGCCAGACTCTGCTGCCCATGAAGGCGTAATTTATTTTCCATATGGATACAGTGGTGAACCCACCAGAGTGTCAGTTTGCCCATTGGCAAATGAGCCTCCTTAAACATTAGACAATCCAGTATTTATTTCAAATTTTTAAAATAAGTTATAACGATGTGTATTTAATTTTAATATCAGCTCTATACTGCCAGTTATGTGTGCAATATATGTACACTGCAATTACTAAAATGTACATTAATTTTAATTGTATATTTTTCATTTTATGTATTTTTTACAAATTTGTTTGTTTCTTATAAAAATTAAATGATAGCCTTACAGTTGTGGATAGCCCCCCTTTGTCTCCTGGCATCCAATATTCTGGGGATATATAAGTATTGCTTGCTGGAATTATCACAAGTAATTGCTAGAATATTTGCAACTGGATGTAATTTAGAAAACCATTGCTTATATTATTAACGACGAATGCATACACAATTACTGTTCCATTAAATATGATTTTGAGCATGTAGGGTGTATCTACACTGTAGAATTAATGCAGGTTGACACCACTTTACCATGGCTCCATGTTACTGGATTGTGAGAGTTATTGTTTGGTGAGGTACCAGCACTATTTGGCAGAGAAGACTAAAGGCTCTATAAAACTACAACTCCCATGATTGCATAACATTGAGCCATGGCAGTTAAAGAGGTATCAAACTGCATTAATTCTGCAGTGTAGATGGCTTCATCATCTTACTTTGTAAGTTTAAAACATTTTTCACTGGGCTCCAGGTAGTTGTGGAGACATATATGCAGGACTGAAGTCAGTACACTCTCAAAATAATATGATTAGCTTATGGACCCTCCTCATTATTTTTTAAGTAGAAGACATTATAAGTATAAGCTCATCTCATAAGATACAAGGCTATTTTAAACCTCCTTACCAGTTCTTCAGAGGTCATTCAATTAAGAAGCCACCTGTTTTTGTTCTGAATAGAAAGCTCTGAAAAGCAATCTTGGGATAACCAGGTATTGATTTCTGTACTTTTTAAAAAAACAGGGTTTGATTATTTTGAAGCGAGTGCCAAGGAGAACATCAATGTGAGACAGGTCTTCGAACGCCTCGTCGACATCATCTGCGAGAAGATGTCGGAGGGCATGGATTCAGAAGCTGCGAAGACGGCCGCCGGGAAGAATGTGCATCTCAGCTACAATCCACCTCCGCTGCAGCAGAAGTGCTCCTGTTAATGCCTCAAAACCTCATTGGAAGCTCTTAGTGGTTGGAACAGTTCGCCAACCCTTTTATGCCTAAATCCACTTTAGTCCCAACTGGAGTAGACCAACTGAATCAATACCAATTACAGAAGCGCTGGTTTATCAAGTTCCATTTGATTCAGTGATTCTACTCTAATTGGGACTAGCAAATGAATTTAGGTCACAACCTTTTAAAAGATCTGTTTCTGTATCACTGAAGCTGGGTTTGTTTGTTCACTGTCCCCCAAAGTCTGTTGTATTTTGCTTATTGAATACAATGAAAATGGTGTAAGTGCAGTTAGTGTTCTGGTGAAACGTTATGCCACGGTTTCAGTGATCTAACCCGTTGCTGAATGGTTCTTGATATTTTACTTATATAGTAAAATGTAGCAATGATGCTATTCAGTTGATTGTGTTTGAGCGCATTCCCCGTACATACTAACTAGAAGCTGTTAAGAGTTAACTTTGTGACCGTGTTGTTTTGTTTTGAATAGCTTTAAAAAGTGGAGAGAAGGAAGGGGTGGAAAAGGGTAGTATTTCTTCAAATTCTACGAAAGGGCATATTTTTATTTGGATTTTTTGCCTAATGAGCAACAGTATAGCTAGAATAGCCAGTGTGGTGTAATAGTCTGAGTGTTGGACTACAACTCTGTGTGCCTTCTAGTCATTTCTGAGTTATAGGTTCCTCAGTTGGACTTCCAATTGGATTTTCTTGGGAAGATTTGGTCGGAGATAGAATCATAGAATCATAGAATCAAAGAGTTGGAAGAGACCTCATGGGCCATCCAGTCCAACCCCCTGCCAAGAAGCAGGAATATTGCATTCAAATCACCCCTGACAAATGGCCATCCAGCCTCTGTTTAAAAGCTTCCAAAGAAGGAGCCTCCACCACCCTCCGGGGCAGAGAGTTCCACTGCTGAACGGCTCTCACAGTCAGGAAGTTCTTCCTAATGTTCAGATGGAATCTCCTTTCTTGTAGTTTGAAGCCATTGTTCTGCGTCCTAGGAAGCAGAAAACAAGCTTGCTCCCTCCCCGTGGCTTCCTCTCACATATTTATACATGGCTATCATGTCTCCTCTCAGCCTTCTCTTCTTCAGGCTAAACACGCCCAGCTCCTTAAGCTGCTCCTCATAGGGCTTGTTCTCCAGACCCTTGATCATTTTAGTCGCCCTCCTCTGGACACATTCCAGCTTGTCAATATCTCTCTTGAATTGTGGTGCCCAGAATTGGACACAATATTCCAGGATGTGGTCTAACCAAAGCAGAATAGAGGGGTAGCATTACTTCCCTAGATCTAGACACTATGCTCCTATTGATGCAGGCCAAAATCCCATTGGCTTTTTTTGCCGCCACATCACATTGTTGGCTCATGTTTTACTTGTTGTCAACGAGAACCCCAAGATCTTTTTCACACGTACTGCTCTCGAGCCAGGCATTGTCCCCATTCTGTATCTTTGCATTTCATTTTTTCTGCCAAAGTGGAGTATCTTGCATTTGTCACTGTTGAACTTCATTTTGTAAGTTTTGGCCCATCTCTCTAATCTGTCAAGATCGTTTTTAATCCTGCTCCTGTCCTCTGGAGTATGCTATCCCTCCCAATTTGGTGTCGTCTGCAAACTTGATGATCATGCCTTTTAGCCCTTCATCTAAGTCATTAATAAAGATGTTGAACAGGACCGGGCCCAGGACGGAACCCTGCGGCACTCCACTTGTCACTTCTTTCCAAGATGAAGAGGAAGCATTAGTGAGCACCCTCTGGGTTCGTCCACTTAACCAATTACAGATCCACCTCACCGTAGTTTTGCCTAGCCCACATTGGACTAGTTTCCTTGCCAGAAGGTCATGGGGGACCTTGTCGAAGGCCTTACTGAAATCCAGGTACGCCACATCCACGGCATTCCCCGCATCTACCCAGCTTGTAGCTCTATCGAAGAAAGAGATCAGATTAGTCTGGCATGACTTGTTTTTGATAAATCCATGTTGACTATTAGCGATGACTGCATTTGTTTCTAAGTGTTTGCAGACCTCTTCCTTAACAATCTTTTCCAGATGATTTGCCTTTGCCTTCATCTGAGGCTGAGAGAGTGTGACTTGCCCAAGGCTGTCCAATGTGTTCCCATGGCGGTGCAAGGATTTGAACCCTGCACTTCCAAGTCATCATCCAACACTCAAATCACTACATCAAACTGGCTCTATATAACATATACCTACTATGAATAATAGTACACCCAGTACTACGAGGAAAACATCTTAAAATAACCAAGAATAAATGCATATTCAACTAATTTTTAAACAGGCACCCCAGACTGGATCGACACTGCCATATAATCCAGTTCAAATCTGGATTTTATATGGCAGTGTACATGGGACCTCAGCATAGTTATTCTTCTGGGTATTAAAAAATCCAACCCTACAATGTATGTACAACTAACCATTCTTAAAAACTTTGGCACTTGAAGTAGTATTGTTTGGCTTTGGTAACTGAGAAAATTGAATATGTGCCCTAGTTTGTGTACAGTGCAGTTTTGGGATTCTGACTGTCCTCACAATTGGATTCTAAGGCTCAGTGACCAATGCCCTGCTAGCCAGTTTATGGTCGAACTACAGCTACTGCTCCACTGATCTATATTCTCTCTCTCTCTCTCTCTATATATATATATATATATATATATATATATATATATATATCCTGATCTATATTCAAACTGGAATGCTATCTTTTCATTTGTAATGTTTCACAGATGTGGAATTGACATTAGCTTAATTAGAAACACATATTTCCAATCTGTCATTCTGTGAGCTTTCTCTGCTGTGGTGCTCTCCTACTAGAGTCCCGATTGGCATAAACGCTGCTGCCCTTCTAGTGCCAAGTAGAAACATAAAATCCTAAAGTTGGAAGAGTCCACAAGGGTCATCCAGTCCACTCCCCTACCATACATCAACACTTGATCAAAGCACTCCTGGCAGACAGCCCTCCAGTCTCTGTTTCAAAACAGCCAAAGAAGGAGACTCCAACACACTCCAAGGCAGTATATTCCATTATCAATATATTCCACTGTTAAACAGCTAATATAATCAGGAAATTCTTCCTAATATTTAGGTGGAATCTCTTTTCATATACTTTGAATCCTTTGCTCCATGTCCTAGTTTCTGGAGCTGGCTCCATCCTCTAGATTGCATCTTTTCAAATATTTGAATATCTTATCACCTCTTAAACTTCTATTCTCCAGGGTTATCATACCCATCTTCCTATGCCACTCCTTATAAGGCATGGTTTCCATACTTTTTACCACTTTGGACACATTTCAGCTTGTCAATAGCCTCTTTGAATTTTAGTGCCCAGAACTGGACACAGTATTCCAGCCGTGGTCTTAACAAAGTAGAATGCCGTAGTACTGTTACATCCCTCTATTCTATTGATACAGCCTAGAATTGGCTTTTTTATCTGCCACATAACACTTATGTTCTTGTATCTACTATGACTCCTAGATCACAAAATGAATTTGTACTTAAGTCTTTGAGGCCTAATAGGTTTCCTATACAGTACATCTGTACATGTGCATAGTTCAAATTGTTTCTTCTGGTTTTTAACTATCTTCCTTAACTTACCAACTTGGTCTAATCTGCTTAAATTATTTATACTTTTACAAATTGTTTTAAATTAGTCAAGTGATGTTATTGTACAATACTCTTTTAAATTAAATTGAGAGTAAAGTACACAAAAATAAATATAGGTCTCTGTTTTTTCTTCACTTTATGCACATAATAATTTATGATGTCGGTCAGGTTAAGTGGGTCATTTGTTTGCAAGGTTTCATGGCTCTGTGGGGATCTTGAACCGGGACCGCCAACATTCCAGACCAGCACAAAATCCACAGGCTTGCATTTTTTTTTCAATATTGTAACTCTTTTTCATTTATCTTGGGTGCTGAATTTTAAAAAAACCCAGAATAAACACACAGTTCTTTCACAGATTTGGTATTTTTTCCAATTCAATTGCTATTTTGTCTTGACTAGGTTGCAATTGTATAGTATATGAGAAAAAGCCTAATAGCATTATTAGAGTATTATCTTTGAATAGAAATATACAGTATTGCACTGTTTGCATATAATTGTAATCTCCCTCCCTCCCATCTCCCTCTCTCTCCCTCTATAGACTACTTCAGTTCTGATGGAATATTAAATGTGTATGTTAAAATGTTTTCAGTAGAGCTCAAATTGTTCTAATTTTTGTCTTGAGTAGAAAAACTATTTTCACACTTACTTATGATTTTGTGCTTAGAGGGCAAAGGCTCTGTAGTGCTTGAAGTGTATATATTGTTCTTAACCATGACAAATAAAAATGTGATTTAGTAGCTGTTTGTTAACTGTGTATTAATTTGGATAGTTCTATAATACCTAGTGGACACACATAACTCACCCAAAGATTCACAGCTGTGTAATTATACTATCAATTCTGTGGTAATTTTTCATACTACTACTAATAATAAATAATAATAAACTTTATTTATACCTCGCCACCATCTCCCCCAATGGGGACTCGGAGCAGCTTACATGGGGCCAAGCCCGGACAACAGATTACAATACAAAAAAATAGAAAATTACAATAAAATAAACAACATAACATTAAAGTATAAAACATCAAAGCATATAAACAATATATATAGAACATAAGAACTGAACATAAAGACAAAGAGCGGGCCGCATGTACATAAAATGATTTTAAAAACTCCAGATGAGATAAAACTAATTGTAAGGAGAACTCATGGAAAGACAGGATAATAAACAAACCTACGTACGGAGGGGGGGGGGGGCTCCTGTTTCTAACTAACATTGATGTTGGTTGGTGGAGGCATAGATGTGGGTGAAATGTCAGGAGAGAATGCTTCTAGAACATGGCCATACAGCTTGGAAAGCTCACAGCAACCCAATTTGAAAAAAAGTAAAAATTGTGGTAGAGTTTGAACTCAAAAGTTTTAGAAAGGGCACAGAGCTGTGTATTCAGAACTGTGGTCAGTGGTTCATTAACACCCTGCAATTATAGGTTACAGACCTATTCAGGACCTATTATAATGTTTAAATTCCATGGTTCCATCCTATGGAATCCTGGAATTTGCAGTTTAGGGGGGTTATTTAGAATTCTCAGCCAGCCAGAGAGTTCTAGTGCCTTACCAAACAACAAACCATATGATTCAGTAGGGTGGAACCATGGCACTTAAAGTGGAATAGTAGGACTTAATTACATAGTGAGTGTGAGTCCCAGGTAATTTTTGTGTGTACTTTCTGGTTCTTTACTGCTGAGTAAACATGTACAGAATTCCACAGCCAAATAGATTAGAAGGCATGAGAAATATATATATATATATATATATATATATATATATATATATATATATGCCACTTTCTTAATCACCATATGTGTTTAGAAGGTATTAGCAATCCAATAAAATATGCAGTCTAAAGGAAAATCCTGTGCATATTTTGCTTTTCAGAAATCTTTAGAATGTATTTACACATGACCTCGCACCTTCTCTTCTAGAGTTGCCTACAAAATAAGTTATCTGAAAGGCATATTGTTATAAAACGTACTACAAACAGGGGTCAAAGAATACAATATCCTGTGATTAAAATACATATTTAGTTTCAAAAGATCAGTGTGATATATAAGCCAAATGTCTAATTTTAACTCACAATTTAGGCCAACACTTCATACGGATGTTTACAAGACATTGTTAATAGGCACATTAACTTTAAAACTCCAGCAATGTTGGACAGAGGGCAGAATATGATCCTTGGATTCTAGCTGAGGAAAGTTATAGACTCAAAATAGTAATGTTTAAAATGGTTATGTCTGTCAATTATTTGGGTTTAAAAAGTGAGGGTTTAAAGCTACAATCCTACAATGTATGTGCAGTATCTCCAATTAACTAGGGGTTAAATCTGTTGAATTCAGTGGGAATTGAGGCTGCCCTGCTTTGGATATGCCTGGGGACATGACCCACAAGAAAACAACGATGCAAAATGGAAGAGAGAAAAGAGAAAGCCTACATTACAGGTGGGTTACCTCAATAAAGGAAGCATCATTGTCTTCTCTAAGCTATCCTGTCTTCTCATTATGTGGCTAAAGTACTTCATCTTTGACTCTAATGCAGGGGTCCTCAAACTAAGGCCCGGGGCCGGATGCGGCCCTCCAAGGTCATATACCCGGCCCTCGCTCAGGGTCAACCTAAGTCTGAAACGACTTGAAAGCACACAACAACAACAACAAAATAACAATCCTATCTCATCAGCCAAAAGCAGGCCCACACTTCCCATTGAAATACTAATAAGTTTATATTTGTTAAGATTGTTCATTTTAATTATTGTATTGTTTTTAAGTGTTTTTTGCACTACAAATAAGATATGTGCAGTGTGCATAGGAATTCATTCATGTTTTTTTCACATTATAATCTGGCCCTCCAACAGTTTGAGGGACTGTGACCTGGCCCTCTGTTTAAAAAGTTTGGGGACCCCTGCTCTAATGTATATGTATTTACATATACTAGCTGTCCCCTGCCACGCGTTGCTGTGGCCCAGTCTAGTGATCTGGAAAATAAAGTAATTAGAAAGTGTTGGTTTCTAATATATGTGATGTCTTTATGCTTGTGGGTAAACACTTTCTTGCTGTTTCTTTGTCAGTGTTAATGTGGTGATTGTCTGGTTTGCCTACTCCGGGACATGCAACATATCATTGTCCTTCTTAAAGGGTCCCTTTCAAATCTATGATACTATATCTCTGTGTGTGAATCATCTCTCTCTCTATCTATATCTATGGCTGGATGGCTCTTTGTCAGGAGGACTTTGATTACATTTTCTTACCCTGGTGAAGGGAGTTGGATTGGATGGCCTTAAGTATTTTCTGATGGTCATGGGGGTTCTGTGTGGGAAGTTTGCCCCGATTCTGTCGTTTGTGGGGTTCAGAATGCTCTTTGATTGTAGGTGAACTGTGTGAATCCCAGTAACTACAACTCCCAAATGTCAAGGTCTATTTCCCCCAAACTCCATCTCTGTTCATATTTGGGAGTATTGAGTGCTTGTGCCAAGTTTGGTCCAGATCCATCATTGTTTGAGTCCACAGTGCTCTCTGGATGTAGGTGAACTACAACTCCCAAACTCAAGGTCCATGCCCACCAAACCCTTCCAGTATTTTCTGTTGGTCATGGGAGTTCTGTGTGCCAAGTTTGGTTCAATCCATTGTTGGTGGAGTTCAGAATGCTCTTTGATTGTAGGTGAACTATAAATCCAGCAACTACAACTCCCAAATGACAAAATCATAATTTTTTGAGTGATGGTCACTCCTTGTGTTGTGAGACGTTTTGTTGCCAAATTTGGTGTGATTTCGTTCATTGGTTCTTTTCTTTTTAAGGTACTCATTATGCACAGAGCATAGATAGATAGATAGATAGATAGATAGATAGATAGATAGATAGATAGATAGATAGATAGATAGATAGATAGATAGATAGATAGATAGATAGAAGTAAGAAGAAGATAGAAGATATGCCTGATAAACATACCCACAGACAACTTTGTCCCGTAGAGGAACCGTGTGCTTAAAGCGACAGTACCCTTTTTCCTTCTCTTCCCGCCCCCTCCTGCCTCCCGCCGTCCTATCAGAGTGATGCTGCGCCGCTGGAGCCTAGGATTCGCAGGAGATTGTCACGCGCGCCCCAGGCCGGGTTCCGATTGGCCGGTGGCAGCGCTTCGGCTCTCGCGGCCGCATTGAGGGGCCGGAGCGGGGCCCGCGGTGGATGCGGAGGCTGCTGGCCGGTTTCGCGCGCGCGAGCCCACTGAACAGGTTGCCCCTCCTCGTTGCCCCGGCAACCGTCGAAAGAGCCGCGGGGTCCCGCCTGACTAGGCCGCGACGCAGCCTCGCCTTCGTTCCCGTGGCAGCCATGCCGGGCAGGGCCAAGGCCTCGCCCGCTTGTGGGCCCGCGCGGCCTGAGGACTCGGAGGGCGGCCGCGGGGCCAAGGCCGGCGCCGCCCAAGACGAGCCGGAGGCCGAAGGCGCGAAGGAAGGCGGCGCTGCCGCTGCAGCCGCCTGCGAAGCCGGCCCCAACCTGGGCGACCCGGAGATCGTCAAGTCCCCCAGCGACCCCAAGCAGTACAGGTGAAGGCCCGGCAGTTCTTGCTCATACTCCCCAGCCATTGGCCGCGCTGGTCGTGAATATATTCCAGCAGGACCATGTCCTTCTGGGGAGGGACTTTGGGGGGAGACCCTGTAATCCATCTCCCATCACCCCCATGTTGGCTGGGGCTGATAAGAAGTGCAGTACCATGACATAGGAAGGGGCTGGTCGAGGAGATAGGTGACTTTCCTGTATAGGTTGTGCCTGGATAGAGAAAGAAGGTGGATTTGGCAACATGTGGGCCTCCAGATGGTGTCAGGATGTATATCACACTGGTTTTGTTGCTTGGGGCTGATGGCAGTTGCAGTACAACGACAACAGTAATAAACTTTGGGTTGTTGTAGGTTTTTTCGGGCTATATGGCCACGTTCTAGAGGCATTCTCTCCTGTAGACGAAACGTCAGGAGAGAATGCCTCTAGAACATGGCCATATAGCCCGAAAAAAACTTACAACCCAGTGATTCCGGCCATGAAAGCATTAAACAATATAGTAATAAACTTTATTTATATCCCGCCCCATCTCCCAAAAAGGGAACTTGGAGCAGCTTAGGTAAAGGTTTTCTCCTGACATTAAGTCCAGTCATGCCTATTCTGGGGGTTGGTGTTCATCTCCATTTCTAAGCCGAAGAGTGTTGTCCATAGACACCTCCAAGGTCATGTGGCCAGCATGACTGCATGGAGCACCATTACCTTCCCGCCAGAGTGGTACCTATTGATCTACTCAAATAATAATAATAAAAACTTTATTTATACCCCGCCACCATCTCCCCAAGGGGACTCGGAGCGGCTTACATGAGGTCAAGCCCGACAACACATCAATAAAACAAAATACAAAACAAAAACAATACAATTAATATAACTCACATAAACAGTAATGCACAAGGATTTAAAAAACCTATGACCAGGCCAAATGTAATAGTTTAAAATTAAAAAAAATAAACGCTGGGCATGAACAGAGGTGGGATGTATCTGATAGGAGGGTTTTAAAAGAAATGAAGGGAGAGAAACCTAACGAGTAGTTAAAGTGCTTCTGAGGACATTTTGCTGGGGATTATTTCCTTATTCAGATAAGGCACACTGGAACAGAAATTTGCATGTTTTCGAACTGCTAGGTTGGCAGAAGCTGGGGCTGACAGCTCCCTAGATTCAAACCTGTGACCTTTCGGTCAACAAGTTTAGCAGCTCAGCAGTTTAACCCACTGTGCCACGAGGGCTCACAGAGTGACATACAACCATGAGATAAAACATATTAGATAATGTATGGAGGTTCCACATGCCTTCCATCTCTTCCTGGGAGGGTAGAGCTATTGCTTTCCTGTTTGGGCTGCTCTTGAATGAAGAGGAAAGTGAGTTTAGCAAAGTGGGAGAGTCTAGATGTCTCCTGGGTGATGTTGGAATCTCTCTCCCATCATCTTCACTCCCATTGGGGCTGATGGGAGTTATTTATTATTATTTATTTATTTACAATATTCTTATCCAGCCTTTCTCACCCCGGAAGGGACTCAAGGCAGCTTTACATGCAGGCAGCAATTTGATGCCCTAAAACACAATGTACACTTAAATAAATATTAAAATAGAATTAAAAAGTACATTAAAATGATTAAAACATTTTAAAACAATACATTCATAGTTAAACACATAATCCTTGAGCGTAATCCAGGCCATTCCAATGGTCATTTCACATTGTTCCAAGTCTATCTATTTCATAAGTTATCTAAAGGCTTGGTCACAAAGGCACGTTTTCACTCTCTTTTGGAAGGTCAGGAGGGAGGAGGCTGAACTAACATCACTGGGGAGGGAATTCCACAGCCAAGGGCCACCACAGAGAAGGCCCTGTCTCTCGTCTCCACCAATTGCGCCTGCAAAGGAGGCAGGATCGAGAGCAGGGCCTCCTCAGATGATCTTAAACTCCGCAGGGGTTCATAGAGAGAGATACTTTGAACAGATAAGCTGGAGTTGCAATACTACAATGCCAATTAGTTTCCGAGCAACGTACAAGGTGTTGGTTTTGAGTTTTAAAGCCTTATGTGGTTAGGTCCAAGTTACCAATGGATTACCTTCTCCCATACAATCTGCCCAGGACTCTTCAGTCTTCTGGGGGGGGGGGCATCTTCTTCAACCAGCCAGAACCCAACTGGCAACCACGACCTAGAGCAGTGGTTCTCAACCTGTGTTTTGGCCTACAACTCACAGAAATCCCAGCCAGTTTATCAGCTTTTAGGATTTCTGGGAGTTGAAGGCCAAAACATCTGGGAACCCACAGGTTGAGAACTACAGACCAAGAGGACCTTTTCCTTGATTGCTCCATGACTGTGGAACGACTTGCTGAAAGAACTCCGACAGCTAACTGTGCTGTCAGAATTTTAAAACCGTGTAAAGACCTATCTCTTCTGACAGTCGTTGAATATGTATTTAAGTGTCCTTTGTTTGATCTCTGTTTTGTGTGTTTTAGTATGCATTTTGTAGATAAATTTTGGTGTGTAACCTGTCTGTAGGTACATTTTAATGTGCGTATTTGTAGGTTTTTTGCTGTGTTTATGTATTTTAATTGTTTTGTAACCCATCTCGAGCTATGAGGAGAGGCGGGTAAGAAAATAATAATAATAATAATAATAATAATAATAATAATAATAATAATAGTAATAATATAAGAAGGGCCACATGAATTACGCCCATCCTGGAAGAATAGATCTGTTACTTTCCTGTATGGGTTGCTCTTCAATAGAGATGTAAGGTGATTTGATTTGATCATATTAAGGTGATTTTGGATTCTGATACTGCCCTCTAGGTAGACATTCAAAATCTGACATCCTCTTGAGGTGGCAACTAACAGCTTCCATAATCTCTAGCCAATGTTGTATTTGGCTACATGGTAGATAGGGATTATAATAGTTGTTTGGAGGAAGGCTGGTGCTCTGGATCATTACTTTCAATGGATTCAACTGCATAGAAAATGGGGCCAGTATGGTATGATGAATCTCCGCTTGGCCATAGGGATCTGTGGGCAAGTCGCACTCTTTCAGACTCATAGGGAGGCAAGGGCATGCTCCCTTTGAACAAATTCTGCAAAGAAAAGCCTTAAGGCAGTGGTTCTCAGCCTGTGGGTCCCCAAATGTTTTGGGTTTCAACTCCCAGAAATCCTAACAGCTGGTAAACTGGCTGGGATTTCTGGGAGTTGTACGCCAAAACGCCTGGGGACCCACAGGTTGAGAACCACTGCCTTGGGGTCTCAATAAATCAGAAATTACTTGAAGCCACACAACAAGAACAATCAAACCAGTGTAGGAAATGTATTTAAATGATTCTTAGCTATAGTAGCCTTATGTGGCTTATAGAGGCTCTGCATTCAGAGGGAGAGTGTACCTTTGAATCTCAGTTATTGTTGAACTTTGTAAAAAAGGATTCTAGATTAAAAGAACTTTGTTTTGATCCAACCCAGCTAAACAGGATATAATTCTATGTGTTATCAAAGGCTTTCATAGCAGGGATCACTGGGTTGCTGTGAGTTTTCTGAGCTATATGGTCATGTTCCAGAAACGTCAAGAGAGAATGCTTCTGGAACATGGCCATACAACCCAGAAAACTCACAATAACCCAGGATATAATTCTCATTATATCATCCAAAACTCTAGCACAGTTGTCATTTCTGGTGTTGTGTTTCCAATATATTAGCTGGGTTGATGGGTGTTCCTTATAAAGAATTAGTGTGATTATTACAATTATTGGACTTGGGTTCAGATGCCTCTGCCAGCAATAAACTTTCTGACTTGCTGTAGGTAAGTCGCTCTTTGCCAAACATACAGGATTGTTTTGTTAAAAGGAGATAAGTCCAAAATGTTAATGCAGTAGATCTAAACTAGATCTATTAAGGCAATGGAGCTTCAGAAAGCAACAATTCCATTGCTTCACTATAGTAAAGATTGGATTTAAAATCTGCAGTTATAGGTTTTGTACAGAAAGATGGGAATGCAGATAATCATTGTTCAGTTGATCTTGTTAGTGTTTACCTGGTAGTAAGTTGGCGGTGTGGATTGGGGCGGGGGGGGGGGTATTCTCAGACTAGTTTCTATAGGATTGTGATCTGTTTACCTTATTCATACAATTGTTGAGAGAACTTTTGGCAAGGGACTTGTTCATTTGTAAGTAAACTTGCCCATGATGGGTGAAGCCAGAGCCAAATACAGGTGGAGTCACCTGTTTTCTTCTTTTCCTTCCTCCTCCATGACATCCCATATTCTTTTGCTCTGGGGCCAGTTAGCTGGTTAGGTGAGAAACTGATTACTTGTGCTGGAGGTCTCAACTGATAGTTTGTAAAAGGAGTTTTAAATTTTATCCCAGGGCAGCACCTCTCGCCTAAGCTTGTTCATAACTCACCCTTCCAGAGGTCATATTAGTGAACATTTTTGTGAAATCACAAGACCATGTGCCTCAAAGGTGTGGAAGGCGTCAGTGGGTGTTCACTTGATAACAGGTTCCTCAAATACCATACATTTAGCCTTTTACATTCACTGGGTAAGGAGCATAGAACCCCATGAAAGTGAAAAACCAAATACATGCAGTTCCTTACAACATCCAACTTACATACAACTCATAATTAAGAATAGCGGTAAGAACAACAGGAAGTGAGAGAAATCTACCCCTCAGAAGGGAAATTTCTCCTGCAAGAGTTATCATGAGGAGAATGTGTCTACTGAAGCTTTATCACCAATTCTTGTTTCCACAACAAGTCAAATTTTTCAAAATCCAATGATCACAGGGACTACTGAAATCTTCACAGGAGTGTTAACCCTCATCTTTGCTATCTAAAGTGCATGCAGTCCCCAAGTTATTAACAAGATAGAGTCTGTAGGTTTATTCTTAAGTTGAATTTGTATGTAATTTCAAACAGGTACATGTTTTAAGTGTAACTCCAGCCAGCAGGGGTGAGACAACAGGAAGTGAGAGAATTCTATCCCTCAGAAGGAAAATTTACTCCTGAAAGAGTTATCAAGGGGAAAGGGATCTATATGTAACTCTTTCATGAGTGAATTTCCCTTCTGAGGGGTAGATTTCTCTCACTTCCTGTCTCATCCTTTTCTTAACTATGAGTTACATATAAGTCAGACGTTTGTAACTTGGGGACCGCTTGGAGTTTGGCTGGAGTTACACTTAAAAATGTACCTGTTCTGACTTATTCGTAACTTGGGGATTGCCTATACTATTACTGTATACAGTAAGCCCGTTACTTTCACAGGCATTATTAGTGCAGGAAAAAGTCCAAATTTAAAAAATGGAAAAATGCAAATTAGAAAATTGTTCCAGGGGAAACATTTTTTGAATCCCAGTGCTTTATGTGAATGTAAGAATACCTTAGCCAGAATGACCAATGTGGCTCACCCATTAATTTTAAAAATCTGTTTTTTAAAAGCAGAGATATTAATGTTTAGCTGATCTTTAAACTTGATGGGATAGTTCATTATGTGGGCCCATAGTAGTTGTGATAAATGCAAAAGTACTGCATGTATTTTATTTTATTAGTGGTTCGGTGGGGTACCTGTTGGATGGCTTGATGATACTATATATTTACATTTTTAGATACATCAAACTTAAAAATGGCTTGTGCGCATTGCTGATTTCGGATCTGAATAACCCAGATGGTAGCCCTTGTGCTGCATCTTCAGAGGGAGAGGATGACTCTGAAGATGACACTGATGAAGATGATGATTCTGGAGCAGAAATTGAGGATGATCAAGAAGGATATGATGATGACGAGGACTATGATGATGATCTCGATGACCCTGATAGTGACTTGGAAGAGTTAGCAGATAAAGTGGAGACAAGAAAAAGGAATTGCACAGAAAAACAGGTATGTATAGGATACAATGTAGGACAGTGAAATGAAGGAATACTTTCTCTAGCCAGGGCTATATCACAATTGCAGCAGAAAATGTTTTACGCCTCTGCTAAACAAATCTGGTAAAGTGGAACCTCGACTTAAGATCGTCCCAACGAGCATTTTGAGTTAAGAGTCGTCACTTAGCCTGAGGTGCACTTTGACATACAAGCAGCGTTTTGAATTAAGAGCTAGTGTCAGAGGGACCATTAGCATAAGAATACAGTCTCTAGGGCTTCAAGGGAGCAGCCTCTTGTCATCTTTGGGAGATTGCTGTCAGCTTTGCTCTAATCCGCTTCCAGGAACTTTGACTTACTTGATTTTGTGTAGTTTTTATTCCTGGTGTGCTTGGCTTCATAAAGAGGGGGAGAGAGAGAGAGAGCCAGAGAGGAGGGGAGGGAGGCTAGAATGAGTTCATTATGAAGAAAACAATGCTTCTGCCTCTTTACTTTGTGTTTTGTGCTTCTTTGCCACAACTTTGTGCTTCTACCATTTTATGTTGATCTTCTTTTTTATAGTTCCAAGTGAATGTGCATTTATACATTATTTGTTATTTATAGAGTGCATTTTCTTATTTAAAAACATGTAACAAAAATATTGGAGGGGGGATGACCTGGGGGCCTGGAACATCTTAATAGCATTCCCATGCATTTCAATGGGAAAATTCACGTTGAGATAAGAGTGTTTGGAGTTAAGAGCTGTCACATAATGAATTAAACTCTTAAGTCAAAGGATCACTGTATTTCAGTTCCTTTTTGTCTTCTTTAGATTTTATCATGGAATCTGTTATTTTCATAGATACTTGGAGAATCTTTTTGTATCAGGGCATTTGGTAGCTTCACATGTAATATGGTAATATGTTCCTCAGAATTTGTAATGTTTTTCTTTTCTTTCTTCCAGTCTGCAGCTGCACTTTGTGTTGGTGTCGGCAGTTTCTCAGATCCTGAAGATCTGCCAGGGTTGGCACATTTTCTGGAACATAGTATGTCTTTGTTTAAATGTCATTTTTCTGTGGTTTTGGAAAACGTCAGTGCTATATAATCTTGTGTCTGTGGGGGAATTTCTAACAGCACTCAAGAATCAGTATTGAGAGAACTGTGTTATTTTCTTGCTTTTGTGTTTTTGAAATTAAATAGGATACCATATTTAATCGAGTCTAATGAACCATTGATTCTAATATGCACCTCAAGTTTCCAAATCCCCAAACACCCAAAATATTTGCTGTAAAAAGCTCACTCTTTATAATTTGACCAAAAATGGTTTGCAATACAGTTGCTGCTTGCTTAGGATTCATTCTTTAAAAATGAAAGTGTTATAACACCAAAACTTCCAGCAAGGGTAAAGAAAACCTTGGGATGCATCTATGCTGTAGAATGAATTCACTTTAATTGCCCTGTTTCAATGCTGTGGACTCATGAGGGCTGTAGTTTTTCAAGGTCTTGAGCCTTCTCTACCGAAGAATAGAGCGGTATATAAATAAAATTTTGTTGTTGTTGCTGACAAATTAGAGATGATGTCCCTCAAATAGGAGCTCCTGGTGCTCCTGAAGCAGCTTCCCCTTTTGCTTTAGCTCAGCACTAAGATTACAGTATGTCATGAATCTAATGTTCACCCTAATTTTGGCAAGGTAATTTAGCCAAAAAAGGTCAGCATTACATTCCAGTATGTTACTTGTAGAGGTTAGTCCATTAAAAAAAATAAGGTACACAAAATTCTCTTAACTCTTCTAGGTTCAAAAAAGTTAATCAAAGATTAACATGCAGTTGTGTCCATCAGTTTTCAATTCCTTGCCACTCAAAATATTATTTGAACTTAGAGAATGTTAAACTATAACGTATACACACACTATCAGCTTTGGCCAAAGAAATAGCAAAGACTGCATTTCCGAAACTGTGCATTGAGCAGGTTAAAAGAATTCCATCTTTTGTGTGTATGTGCTCTTTAAAATTGTGAAAGGTCACCTAGATTTTGAAAACAGAAAATTGTATTTCTGTTGACACAAAATTAAATAAAGACAGGTTGAGTTAGATTTATAGCAGTATTGACTGACTTGAGTCCATTTTAAGTAATCAGTCAATTCTTTGTTCAGACATGGAATATTATTTCACTAATATTTTTGAGTGAGCGTTCAATTTTTGTATTTTTGAGTTTAGTCCTTTATGACTTAGTATATTGTTAGTCAATACATCTTTGAAATTGAACCGAAAGAGGTACTGATAGATAGTTGGAGTAACTTCCAAACACAATTAAGACCATATGTTGCCTATTATGGAATTGCAGCTACTTCTTTAAGAGGAAAAGAACACTTTTTCAAAAAACATTTGCAGTCTCCAGCTCACACTTTTCTCCAATCAGGATGGACGCAGATCCAAAACCTAAACGTTTAACCTCAACTCTCCCAGTAATGTGCTCATACCATAAGATTGAATGTATGCATTAGACAAAGGAAAATACTTCTTTACTCAGTGGTTGAAAATGAAGTGTGTGTGTCTGTGTGTATTACTACTTATTTTATAGTAGATTTTATTTTGCAATACAAATTAACAACTGCTCCCTTTGATTTTTGTTTTAGTGGTTTTTATGGGCAGTTCAAAATACCCAGCTGAGAATGGGTTTGATGCTTTTCTGAAGAAACATGGGGGTAGTTGTAATGCTTCAACGGACTGCGAACGGACACTTTTCCAGTTTGATGTACAGAGGAAATATTTCAAGGAAGCGCTTGATAGGTATCACAGTTGTTCCATATTAAATGGTGGCATTGTAGTGGAAATAATTTCTGCTTTCCAGTTTCAGCTGATATTGATGTATTTCATTATTATTCATCTATCCAGTCCAACTTCTAAGAAACTGATAACATCAATCTCATAAATCTCATATGCCTTTGTAATAAATATAATACTTAAAAACTTTTACTTTAGCTCTGTGGCTAAAATGGTTTGAGAACCCCTAGTCTAGGGCATCGGGATAACTTTACCCACAAAGACAGAGCTAATGACATTGTAGCTTTTTCTTACTGTAATTACAAGTTCTCACACTTGTATAATTGAAAAGTTTCTTTCACTTTCCAAAACTGGTGTCTTTTTAATGTCAGCATGTTGTGATCTTGCATTGATAAAATAAAAAGGTGCATTATTTTTCTCTTTCAGATGGGCACAGTTTTTTATTCATCCTTTAATGATTCAGGATGCAATTGATCGGGAAGTTGAAGCAGTGGATGGTGGTAAGAATCGTGTGATTTTCTCTCATTTTATCTTTTAATATTTAAATACTTAACTTTCCATGGTATAATGCAGTGATAACCTTTTTCATGAAGCAGTGTAATCATGTATGCACTTATGAATACTAGCACTCAATAAAGTTTTCAAGAACGTATTGGGGTGGGAGGTTATACTTCTAATTAAATAATGCTATTTACACTTTTGAGGTAAATTCATGATCAGCATAGATAGTCTTTGTATGGAAGCTGATTTCTACTAATAGATTATCTTCTGGATTGGATTTAGAAAGGTGTTTGCATCAGGAAGCTAGGTTAGAGAAATACCTTTCATACCCTGTTCATCTAGTAAATTACCATCAACTGTATTAAGAGCCATTACTTTTGTGTTTTGGATTCTTTTTTTCAGAAGCAAATCTTTTTTAAAAATTGCATTTAGATTGCAAATATGTGAATCTTTCAATCAGCATGCTCTTTCATGGTCCAAATTTTTCAAGATTTGCTTAGGTTAAATCAAATGTATAAGCTTTCCCTATAAGTGATCTTGGATAAATAGTTTCAGAATTATTCTTATTTGTTCTTCTTGTTTTGAGCAAAACGGTGTTTTGATGTATATGATGCGATCACATTCCTGCATTGAAAACTGGTGCTGAAAGACAGACAGTATTGCTTCAAATCTGGTGTTTTATTTTTTGTAAACAATAGAATATCAGCTTGCAAGGCCTTGTGATGCAAATCGAATAGAGATGTTGTTTGGAAGTCTTGCCAAGTCTGGACATCCAATGAAGAAGTTTTTCTGGGGTAAGTGTATCCTAAGGTAACTTTGCAAACATGTAAGGCTGGATCCACATTAATGACAACCTTACGTATACATGTCAGACAATTGGTTTTATTTTGTTCAGTGACGTTTACTCCCAGATAAGTGGATATGTAATTGTAGGCTAAATTAGTTTTGAACTTAATTTGCACTGAAATTAAAGGGATATGTATACAATTAAGTCTGTTCAACACCCATGGCAAGGATTCATTGCAATAAGTTGAATTTATGCTAGTAAGAAAAACATAAATGCTTATTAAGAACTTGTTGTTGTTGTTGTTTTAAAAAAGGATCAAAGTAGAATTATATCACCCTGACATATAAACTCTATGGGAGTCCCTACTTCCCATATCATAATTCACTGAAATATAGTTGATAGCATATGTGAAGGAAAGCTTTTGCTGTTTTGTGCCCAGTATGTGGAATAGCTTCCAACTGAGATCAGAGAGGTTATTCTCTTGTGCCAACTTATCAAAGTGATGTTCTGATCTGTCACTGTCATAGCCTTTTCATTCTTTCCTTCAGTTTTTCTTATTCTGTCTTGTAAACCGGTCCCTCTTTAGTTCAGTTTTATTGTTGAGACAATTATTGAGTTAGAGTATGGCAGTATCAGGGGATTTGTTAAAGAAAAAGAGGGAAAATCTAGAGGGAGATGAAGATGGGAGGCGGGGGGAAGCTTCACGACTCAGTAGAGAAAAAAGTAGAAAACTTTGCAGGAGGATAAATCTGTTAAATCTGTTCTGCTCAAATAGCTGCAGGAACAGTCTGAAGAGTGGTAAAAATGTAAACAAAAGTAACTTAATTTAAAGCAGAATTATAGAATTATTCAACTTCTGTTGTTAACATTTTGACAGGTAATGCAGACACGCTGAAACATGAGCCAAAAGAAAAAGACATTGATACCTACACCAGACTGAGGGAGTTCAGGCAGCGTTACTACTCAGCGCATTATATGACATTAGCTGTGCAATCTAAAGGTAACATTTGTTCACTTGATGAAAGAAAACTAAACAGTGAAATGCTGTATGCAAGGTGTTTTAAAATGACAGACCATTTTCAAAGCATTATATTTCACTATGGCAGCATGTTACAATTACAGAAAAAGTTACAAATGGTTTAATGAGTTATCAAGTTTTACTACCATTTTCAACAAATTGAAAAAATAACTCTGCAACTGGAGAATATCTCATTAGGGCTTGTGTTATAGGGTCACCATCTTTCGAATGACTGAAGCTAGGGAGAGGCATCTAATGGTAATCCTTTGAAGTTTTATGCCCATCCCTTCCAAGTGGTAAGAGTTTCATTCAAGGGTGGTTCGTGTTTGCAGAGAAACAGCAATTTCAAATCAGATCCATCTTTTTGAAATACCCTGTACATTTTTGTGCAAGTAAATTCCAATGAACTCAGGACTATCTTTTTAAATACAAGTTCATTGGATTGCATTTAAATTAATTTATATATTGAGATACGTTTTTCACTTATATATTTAAAATGAAGTAGGTGTTAATTGTAGTTGAAGCACAACACAGACATTTTATCTGTGGAGAAGTTAGGCAGTGAAAACATTCTCCTACCTAACCCGTGTCCTCCTGAGAATATGCTGCTTGCTTTCCATGAAAAGTGTTCAGCTTCCTTTCCCCCACTTCCTAGAAACCTTGGATAATCTGGAAAAATGGGTGACGGAAATCTTCTCAGAGATCCCAAATAAGTAAGGAACTTTTTTGTACCATTTTTGTAACATGTGTAAATCATATGCACCATTTTGCATGTGGGTCATGCTTTGCTCATCTGGTGGTATTTGTTTTCACCCTTTTATCCACCATTGCTTCTTTACTTCCACTTTTTCCTTAGTGCTTGCGGGAGGAGTGTTTGGAGGAAGGAGAGAAGATTACACAGCTCAACCAAATAAATAAATAAATCTTGGTGTCTTGGTTTTTAAACCTGATTTTGGTTTTATTTGGTATGCTGATTCAGAAAATTGCATTGAATCAACCACATCAGCTCTAGTTTCTTAGATATGGTGAGCAAGTGAAGACTGATATATAGTGTGTGTTTTGTATATCAAAAACTAGAGCTGATAGGGGGAAACTGGTGCCATTTTGGAATCAGCATATCAAATATACCCAGAAACCCATCTAAAATTTGAGGTACCAAAACATTTGTTTGCCGGTGTTATCAATCATTGCATGGTGATACCTGGGTGTTCTCTGCCCTAAAAAAGCGTAGAGAGTTATGGTACCATATTTTGCATGGAAATATGGAAATATTTTCTATTAATTTGTTAATTGCTTTTTTTAAAAAAAAATACTTTTTAATATATCAGTTTGAAATTGTGTTGAAAGCCAGGATCTGGTGTAGTATAGTTTGCATATCATTACAATGTAAGTTTGGGAAACTCTATGCCAAACCCCTTGTCCATAGTAGCTGGCTGTGTCCATGTGGCCATACATACTGCTTTTTCCTTGAAGACATATGATAGTACAGATCACTTACTGCGATGGGTGGTGGTGGGGTGCTGATGGCTGGAATATAGTCTGTCAACCACAACAGGCAATTTGTAAGTATTGGATATGTTAAACCTCATCAAGAAGGGTGATTTTGCACAAAAACTCCTTATTGCTTTGAATAGTATGGGACCTTCCCTGAATGGAAATGCTGATATTTAACTCTTCTTTCCTATTTCTTTTAAAGTAATTTACCTAGACCTGTATTTAGCCACCTGACCGAACCTTTTGAAACACCAGAATTTCACAAATTGTACAGAGGTGAGTGATTACAATGAGTAACTGTTATGAATATATACTACTCGTATGTTTCAGTCTTTGTTATTATAAAATCACCCACTTTCTGCTTTTTTTCTTTTAAGAAAATTATTGTGAAAATGGTGACAACAGTCAGAAAAATTATTCTCTTATATTTACAGTTACTATGTTTCTTTTACCTTTAGTTGTTCCAATCAGGAAAACCCACTTTTTGAATATCACTTGGGCTCTTCCACCACAAGAAGAGCACTACAGGTAAATAAAGAAATTATGATAGAAACTCTCATATGGATACCATGAAACTTAGTTCAATAAATACATTTTTGATAAAGAATTGTCAGGCTGATGCTTTCAGTGATGTCATTTTCATTTGGAATGGCATATTGTTTACATATGTAATTGACTTGGATTTTCAGTTGATCTTTCTCGCTTTTTTTGTCAATATTTGAAGCTATTGTTTGTAGAAACTGTAGTAGGTGATATTCGTAGTGGGATGATCTCCAAAGACAAGTGTTTTATATATGTATGTTCTACTTTCTAATTTCTATGATGGGTAGAAACTGGGATCTTCAAGCAATGCTTAATGGCTCTCTTATTCCTCTCCAACACACAGAGTGAAGCCTCTTCATTATATTTCTTGGCTTGTTGGACATGAAGGCAAAGGCAGCGTTCTTTCATATCTCAGAAAAAAGTATGTATTTGCACTGTGAAGCCTATTGATGTTTGCAATATTAAAAGAAATTAAAATACCTTCAAGTTTTAAACCTTGCATTGAAACTCTATATCCTTGTACTTTCTTTTTCTAATATGGACTGTTGACAAACATGTCTGTTTACTCAGTGGCCAACTAAAGAAAGTAAACCGGAAAGCACCAGGAGTATGTAGTGTACTTGGTATTTCACAAAAATGGTGCAGAGAAATACTGATTTCTCAAGTAACGTGACTTAGACCAGAAGTCCACAACTGTTGAAGGTTTAGGGAGCATTTTTTGCGTCAGGAATCTACATTGGATGCTCTGGATGCTCCCAAAAAATGGAAAACAAAACCTGGAGATGGCTGAAAGTTCACTTGTCCTTAACAGTGATTATTTTTTAAAAACCGTAAAACAGTTTTCTTAAACCTTTTTTTAAAGGCCTTCTGCTGTTCCTAAAGACTTCCAAGTGAGGCATTTCTTTTTGATGGATGAGAGGTTATGCAGAGTGCTTGGAGTGATCAAGAGCTGCAAAAATAAGAGGCTTGGGGAGGCTACATAAAGCCCTAAGTTGCACTTTGCCTTCATTAGATGTATTATCCTCATATATTGACAAGTGAATATAAATAAATGAGATAGATTATGATTATTATGTTTATTTATACCCAGCTTTTTATCTCCACAAGGAGACTTGTGCAATAAGGTATTGTAAATATCACAACAGTTTGAGTTTTAAAGAACCTCTTAGGACAGGGGTCCTCAAACTTTTTAAACAGGGGTCCAGATTACTGTCCCTCAGACCATTGGAGGGCCGTACCATCATGCGAGCCGGGCAAGGGAGGCTGCACTGCAGATTTTGTGGGGTTTTCTGTCTTGTATTCTGGGATATAGAGATGTGTATGAAGGGACCTGGGTGCCCTTCCACACAGCTGTATAACCCAGAATATCAAGGCAGAAAATCCCACAATATCTGCTTTGAACTGGAATATATGGCAGTGTGGACTTAGAAAACCCAGATCAAAGCAGATATTGTGGYATTTTTTGTGTTCAAAACCAAGACAAGAACCCACCTCAGAATTCCTTACCGGGCCTTTCCTGCCTTCCTTTCCCTTCCTCCTCAACCTCAGGAGCCTGGGCTGGTTCTGCTACGCGGAACCGATGTGTTGCACAAGAGGATGGAAGGGAGAGGGAGAGGGAGGCGGCCTTGTAAGCTCACATTCTGACGGGGAGGGGAGAGCAGCGCCCCAGAAGGAGGGCCTGCCAGGCCTCGGCCTCCGTTTGAACTCTCCTCCCGTGGTTGTTTGGAAAGGCGCTTCTCTCAGACCCCTTCCATACAGTCCTCATGCTGCCCGTCGGGCATGGCAAAGGAAGCTGCAATGCGTGGCCTGTTCTTGCGCGAAGCCCCTCCCTTGCATGGCTCGCACGAGGGGCAGCGCGAGGCAGGTAAGTTGCATCACGAGCAGGCCCGACAGGCAGCGCGAGGCAGGCGCAGGAATTGGGCATGGCAAGCAGCGAGGGGCTTTGCGTCAGGCCAGGCCAGGCCGCGGGGGCCGGATAAATGCCCTCGGCAGGCCGCATGTGGCCCGCGGGCCTTAGTTTGAGGACCCCTGCCTTAGGACAATCTGATCAAATCCCAAATTGCTTCATTGCCATTAGACCTGGACTAGCCCTTTGAAAAAGTCTCCTGAAAAAGTCTTTGCTCTAAACATTTCCACCATGTGGGAAAATTGAGTCATTAAATTAAGGCTTATCGAAATTCAGTTAAGATGCAAACAGTCTTTTCCTTGAACAAACTGGATTAATTGAAATTGAGCAAAGCTTCTTTTTCTGCCCTAAGTTCATTTGCTGACACATTTCACTTGCCCATTCTAAAGCAAGTGGTGTAGGTTTTCCTGTTATACATGGAGCTAACAGATATGCTAGAGACACAGTACTATTTTTATATGTTATATATATATATATTCCCTGACAGATTCTGGTCCCTTGCATTATACGGTGGGAATGATGAAACAGGATTTGAGCAAAATTCCACGTACTCAGTCTTCCGTATTTGTGTTACATTGACGGATGAAGGTTACAAGCATTTCTACGAGGTAAATTAGTTTCAGTTTAGAAATGGCTACTGTTTTCGCCTGCTGTAGGTAACAAAGCCTGAAAGTGTTTGCATTTCCATTTTCAGGTTGCTCATGTAGTATTCCAGTATTTAAAAATGTTGCAGCAAACAGGACCAGACCAAAGGTAATGAAAGCTTTTCAGCTTCATTCTACTGAGCAGCAAGTCTTTCTGGCTTTCCCCTCTTATAGTGAAGGAATATAGACTTATGTGAGTTACTCCTTCCAGTTTTAGATATGTTACTTGTGGAAATCAATTCCATTGAGGTCCATCTGCTTAAATCTGGACTACGTAAACTGAACGTTGGTAAAGCCCTGGCTAGATCTAGCTTTTTTCACCCCTTCCTGTCTTTTTGAGACATCACTTCTATCTTTTCCACTGCCATGAAAACATGGCCACCGTACAAGCAGCCAGAGGAAGTTTTCCTTCATATAATTTGAAAATATTATCCTTTCAGACTACAATTTCCAGAATCCAGAGTGACCTTGATGACTGAGGGTTTCTGGGTGTTGAACTCCAAAACCAGCAATATTTGAAGCCTTGTCTTAGTGTTTTCCTTGCACAATCAGTGAGAGTTTTAATTTTTGCCCCCTTGGAGAATTTATCAAATATGACTGTATTTCTTCAATTGTAAGACGCCATAGATTGTAAGACATACCAGAATTTTAGTACTGCCATCACCAACAAAAATACAAGCTCCAACCCATTTTTATAGATATTTATTGTCATGACCTTATTTCCTGGTTTTCTGTGAAACCAGGACATTAGGCCATGCCTTAGACCTGGCCTGTGTATATTTGAAACAAGGGAGAGGGTTTCCATGCAAATGAGAGCAATGAAGGGGAGGAGCCAGGGTGATGGATAGGAGGTGTGAGGGAAATAAACTGTTAGTTGGAATTTTGTTTTGTATCCTAATGTATGCTTTTGAAATAAAGCCTTCCCACTTTGTTTGTGAGATAATTTCTTCGCCAGAAAGCTACAGATCTGGACATTTATTTAGGAAAAGTGTGTCTTAGAATTGAAGAAAGACTATCTGAAATCAGTTGGAACAGAAACCTACTTCCAAGCCAACACTTGCAGGAAGAGAACGCACCCAAAGTTACCCATTTTCTTCTCTCCTTAATCCGTCTGGGCCTTTAACATTATCTCAAGTCTCTTGAGGGCTGGCCTGTAGCTGAAGATTGACTTTTGTTCTGTAACTATTTCTGAAATGGTTCCTTCCTTGACAAAAGTGGCTGGTTCATTGAAGATGCACATGTTTTCTACCCACAGAATATGGGAAGAGATGCAGAAGATTGAAGCCAATGAATTTCATTACCAAGAGCAGGTAATTTGTTTATAAATTTCTGTGGCCATTTTTTTTAAGCATTCTTGATAGTATTTTCTTGTAATATTCCTCATGAAATTTTGCGAAGCAGAAGTAGATCTGCAAAAAGAGTACAGTGAACCTCTGGTATCTGCTGGGGATGTCAAAATCTGTGGATACTCAAGTCCCGTTATGTACAAAGTCCCATTATATAGGGTGGTGTAGTAAAATTATATACCTTATATAAAATGGCAAAATCAAGGTTTGTTTTTTGTGTTTTTAAAATATTATTATTATTATTTATTTATTTCTGTCCCGTTTTTCTCCAAATTGGGAGAAAAACATTACAGAGCATAAAAATAAGCATAATCATCACACCACAAACATATTTAATAAATTATAAAACTGGCGATGACATAATAAAATATTTTAAGCTGAGGATAGTTGAATGCATAGATGAGTAAATCTGGAAATCCGAAATAGCCGACTGTAATCTGTTCCACTACTCCTTCTATCTAATCCTTTCCCCATAACAGTGAATCAGTATTTTGTTGTCACTGAGCATGCTTGGTTCTTACTGAGAAATTTTGTCCCTTTCCTCATTCAGGTTCATTTTGAAGATATTTGGGTTATGCTGTTCTTGAATTAGTGATGCCTTGTGCAGTTAATGTTATTTTTGCAACTTAGAATCTAGATTTAATTCCTATTTTAATTTTTATATTTATGTTTTAACAATATAAGTGTTGCTGTAAAGAGTAATTTTCCAGTATATGACTTTCATCACTTATGAGTATATTCCCATTAAAATTTAATATTCAGAAACAATATTTAAAATAATAAAGTTAAAAAGTCAAAAAGGACTTCCCACCTCCCACCTTAAAGATATAGAATGAAAATATTAACATTCTGCTAACATCTTCTCTTAGTCAACTTCTTCATTCTACCTTGCTATCTCAATATTTTACTTAATTTTCATTGGAACAACCTTCTAGGAATACCCAGTTTAAGATGACGTTTATGTATGGCCAAATTATCAAGTCTTATGTGGACTAGAAATTTGATAATATATACACCTAAGTATTTTCTACTGAATATTAAAAAAAACACACTGAGTTTATTGGGGATAATGGATAATGAACTTTTAGGATCACAATCCAATAGGGTTAGCAGACTTTATTTGGTAATAGATGATCGCTGAGCATGTAGATATTTTGTTTCTATCTGATGCTTTCAACAGACAAAGATGCAAGCGGACTTCTTTTAAAGTTAACAAACTTTGTTTATTGATTACTTCATGTATTTAAAGATACAGGCACATTTCTTGTCAAGGATCAAAAACTTCAGTCACGTTTCAGAGAGTTTGTATCTTGACCGTATAATCTTTAACAGTTTCTTCATGAGGATGTTGCAAAATTTACAGCCTTGTTATCAAGATTAATTAAGGCATTAGACTTACCCACTCCAAAACAACCAGAACCAGTGGAAGATCCCATGTTTCCAGCAGACCAGCAGGAAACACCAAATAACACCGCACTACCAATACTACCATATCTTTTAAAACTTACTAAAGTGCCAGAGGGATCTCCAGCGTCTGCACCAGCAATACCAAAAAGGGTAGACAATCTATACAGACTTGATCTATCAACTGCTGACTGGGTATACAAACCGTTCAAACCTAACATGGTTATAGCAGAAGTAAGCCAAGGGAAAAAATCAAAGAAGTTAGCCTCTGTTGTTTTAGCTTGGTCGCCATTTTGCTTCTTCGTGGGCACTGGGAGAAGAAGCGCCCGCTCATAAAGAGCTGCTTTAAGGCGAATCTCTCTATTTTTCCTTTTTTGTGGTGTGAAGGACTGGCAAATGCTGCAAGGTTGTAGAGCATGTCCTTCACCCAGGCACACGATGCATAATGTGTGCGCATCATTATCCGGATAGTTAGCTTGACATGCTGTACAGCGTTTAAAGCCTGCAGTGTGAGACATTATAGTAGTCTCCACAGTCAAGGTTGGTTTATTTGTTAAAGAATAATTAAAGAATTGAAGAAATAACGAGTCTCAATTTTTCCGGCTGCCTGATTGCGGCGGATTTAAAGAACTGACCATTAGCTCTGCTGGGGGCTATTTATGTTATCGGAGGTGGGCGTGGCTTAGCTAACGGTTGTTTGAGTCTCGAGAGCGCATGAATTACCATAGGTGCAAATCCACAGGTGGTCACTCGGGAAACCATGTTTACAGGTAAGCAACCTACACTGCTTTATACAGCTCTCTTTAATAAGACTTTACCCTTCTGAGTGAGGAGGGTGGGATATCAATGTCATAAATAAATAAGTACTTTCAATTAAAACACAAGCCTCAACAGTTTCTAACTTCTTAACATGAGCTTCTGCAATCTCACAGACTTCTATGCTCAAGCTCATTCAAGGCACAATACACTTCTCTAACAGTCATTCCTCAATCGATATTCTCTAGTTGTCATCCTGTTTAAAACTGAACATTCTAAACTGTCACTGAGTCAGTCACGTGACCTGCAGCCCCTCCCACTGCTTTAGGTATACAGAGATAAGGAAACTGCGAATCAAATAAGACATGTACTTCAGGTTATAAAACGACACATTATAAAAACAGACAAACATCAAATAGAGGAGGCTTGAGAAGGTCGCTTCCTCCAACACAGTTATGATAAATTGGCAAATTTTGTGTAGTACATGTGTCCTTCTAAGTTTCATGTTTTCAGTTGGCTGGAGTTCGGATCCTTTTCCTTCTAGAACTCTTTAGTCCTCTGAGCAGGTAAAACCAGACTAAGTACAAATTCTGAGACAATGTAATCCTAGCTTTTCATGGAAAATGTTCTACATTATTCAGGTGTGAATAAAGTAAACAAAAAGAAGCAAAAACTGTCTCTCATTGTATTCCATGATCTTCCTGTAGCTCAAGCAGGTAGCAATCCCACAATTTAGATCAGGGATGTCAAACTCATTTTTACTGAGGGTCACATCAGCCTTATGGTTGCCTTCAAAGCTCCATTTGTAATTGTAAGATTGTATACATGCAACTATGTTGTCCTGGTATTGAAAGCCTCAGGGGCCATGTAAATGACATGGTGGATCAGATTTGGCCCTGGGCCTTTCATTTGACACATGTGACTTAGAGCAGTAGAGTAGATCTGATGAAAATGATCATGTGATGACTTCTCTTTTCAATAAGTGAGCCTTAAATCTTCATGTTAATGAGTTTGCTTTTGGGGTGTTGCTTGGAAGTATTCAGATGAATTGCTTTTATAAAAATTAGTGAAGGTTTGAGTGGGGAGGGGGTAGGTTGATTCTGAGTGTTGCGTCTCAGGTTAAGCTTCACCTTGCTCTCTGACAAACCAGCCAAACTTGAGAAGAAAGAAGTTTATTGAAGTTTCAAACAAATCCAAGTAAAAGCAGTAAAAAGTTCAATAGTACAAAGTATAGGTCCCATAAGTTCTGTTGATTCAAAGCAGGAAAATTGAGGCAAAGAAGCAGGATACAATCCAGGCAATAGCATGAAGTTACAGGAAGCAAATGAACCCCAAGGCCCAAGCCCTAGAGCCAAAGGTACAGCAATCCATATTGCAAAGTTGGATCTGACACTGAATCAGCTTTCAAGCAGTCTTCTTATAGGAAAACATCAAAACATTGAACATTAAACAGAACAGCTAACGAGCAGTTTTCCCACCAGCAGATGGCCTCAAGATTTGGCCGCAATTCGTAAACTTCTCCTTAACACCTGCAGTTCACGCACCTGCAGCTCGCGCTGACCTTCACCGAGTGTGTTATCAGCCACATTCCTTTCCCTTGAGAACAAGGGATTCTCTCTAGCTACAGACTGTGGCTGAGAAAACTGAGAAATCTGAAATCCCACATTCCCATTCCCATCATGCCCACTTGCACTCTCAGTCCCACCATGTCCATCATGCTGTTGCTGAACCACAACACTGAGCCTGGTTTGAATGAAAGTGTTCTCCACCTTTTCAAGCATACATTGACATACATTCAAGCATACATTGACTTCTGCTGGTGCCATACCTTTGGGAATCAGGCGAATGGGGTGCTGCAGATATGGACAGATCTACCACTTCAGGCTTACCACCTCTTGATTAGGTGCAGTTAATTATTGTGTAAGTTGCAAAGCCAGTGCACATTCGGTGGAAGAACTGGTGGTCGAAGGGACAATTGTTCAAATTATTAAACAGTAATACAATGCTGTTTGTTTTCCAGATTGATCCAGTTGAATATGTGGAAAGTCTATGTGAAAATATGCAGCTTTTTCCAAAGGAGGACATTCTGACAGGAGACCAACTTCTTTTTGAATACAAGCCAGAAGTAAGTGGACTCTCTTTAGGAAAATATCATTTTGGCCAAAAGGGATCCTGGTATGACCTTAGGATTCCCTGCAGCCCCAAAACAGCACCCGCTATATTAGGTCTTATTTTTGTGGAGTAGACTAGCCATATAGCAGATTTGAAAATATTTTTCCTTGGTTCGTGTTCAAAATTATGTTGGCTTACAAAGTTTTGCATTGATAGAGATGTGCTCTGTTTTCAGGTCATTTCTGCAGCTCTTCAGAAGCTGACACCCCAACGAGCCAACCTTAGTCTGTTATCAGCTTCACATGAAGGTCAATGCCATGAGAAAGAAAAGTGGTTTGGTACACTCTACAGTAGTGAAGGTAAAACAGCATTGAATCCTTTTGAAATAGTTTTAGAGGCAGAGAATGGTCATGGAATCCATTATGCCTGATATTGCAGTGGGATTGTAATATGAATGGATCATTGAGTGTCTGCTTCTGGGAGAATATTTACTTCTTTATTTATTTACCACATTTATATCCTACACTTCTTAACCCCGAAGGGAAATCAGGGTGGCCTTACAAAGGCAACAATTCAATACCATATATTAATACATCAGTAAATAAACAAAAACGTTAAAACCAAACTCATTAAAAAGATAGCATTTAAACATCAATTAAAATCACATGATCCATAATAAGGAACCTCTAGACAGGAACCTCTAGTCTAGGCAGTGAAGAAGTATGGTTGAATTTATTGTATCCTTATTGTATCTTAACAATTTTAACTTGTATCCATGACACAAATATTTGTTTTTTAATTGTTTTTCATGTTTGTATTTCCCAAGTTTTTAAGTTTACTGGGTTGTGTGATGTTATTGTAAATCCCCCTGAGTCCCCACGGGGAGAAAGGCAGGGTAGAAATCAAGATCATCATCATCATCATCATCATCATCTTGTCTAAATCATCCTGTTAATTTCATTGGGTAAATTCTACTTTTAATTAAGTCAGAATCAAATCCATTAAATTTCTGTCTTGAATAACAATAACTATTGATAAACTTTATGGAAACATAGCAGGTGTTCTCTTTCCTCATAATCTGGGAATACAATCTATCAGACCTATCATCCTACTCAGGTGTACTTCTACTAAGCCCATCTGTTTAATATTAATTACAGATATTGATCCATACTGGAGAGATATGTGGGCCAGTGACTTTCTGTTAAATCCAGAGTTACATCTCCCTGAAGAAAACAGATATATTGGTGAGTGAAGCTTGGATTAATACATTCCTGTCATAGCACTGACTGCGACTATTCCCCTTTGTATGTATGTAGACATTGTTCCAATTTTAAAGGGAAAAAAGGCAAGCCCTCTTTTGAGTTCTAACTGAATGGTATAGATTGATTTAAATGGACTTCTTTCTTGGTATATCTTCCAAAATTAGGAAGGATTACACAGAAGAATCTGGAATTTAGGATGCTGTGCTGTAGTCCATTGATGCAACAGCACATTCACTGGTGTTGCGTCACTTGAACTGTTTGGTCAGTTCAGTAACTTGCATGTTTGGGGAATTGATTTCTGTATGAGTGCTTCTCAGTCACCTTCATCTTTGTGCCATTATTAAAAGTATATCAATTTTTATAACTTTCTATATTTGTAAGTAAATATTTGGGAATATAAAATAATAATCCTCTGTTTTGCCAATTAGCAACTGATTTTGCTCTGAAGGCCCCTGACTGTCCCCAGACAGAATATCCAGTTAGTATTGTGAGCACCCAGCAAGGTTGTTTGTGGTACAAGAAGGATGATAAATTCAAAATCCCTAAAGGTAACACTTTTTTGTATTTATGTTTTTATTAAAATTTCAAAGGTTCTTTCCTCATATAAAAATGGATCTTCTGGATAGTGCTGTATCTCTTAAGTTTTTTTGTATGACTTCTTGATCTTTTTGTTTTAACAGATACCCACCCTTACAATGCTTCTTGAGTTTAATGCATGTATTAACACACATATGATTCACCGGAATCATATGTGCCCCCAGTTAGATATAGTGGTTTTTATCAAATACATTTTAATGGTAAAATGGATATATGCTAAAAGACATCTCTATTCAATGTAAAGAGCCACATCTCCAAATTTAATTATCCATTTTAAATGCCTCTGAATAGAATCAGCCTTCAAAGTTTGACCAAACCAAGCAATGTGTTCATAATATGAAGGATCAAGTTGTTTCCATATTCTTTGTTATATACACTTGACTGTGCTGGTTCCTTGGTTTTACGAAGTGAAGATTTGGAACAATTAATTTTTCTTGTAAATAAACCTTGGTTTAGAGTACTGGGGGATGATAGTGGGGTGAATAGTGGAGTTGATAGTGGAATTGAAGCAGTCTTTCATTCACAGTTTTGTTGAAATGGCACTGCTGTACAAAGCTGTCTTCCACCAAGGAGACAGTGGCAGCAATAACAGCTGAAATGTTCCTATATAGAACATTTCAATTCTCTCAGAATTGAGACACAATTCTCTTCCAATGTTCTCAGAGTTTGAGCCTTCTCATACAGGGAGATAAGTCTGCCAGTAGTCTGAATTTGATCCATATAGGGCTTTATAAGACATAATCAGCATTTGACTAGATTGATTGCGTACCTTTCTTCTTCCCAACAATCTGCATGTCCCCATCCATTCCCATCATTAGGTAAGAACATCAAGAATCCAGAAGACCCTCTCCACTGCATGTTGTCACTCAAAGGAGGGTGAGGGGCATGTGGCCCTCCACATGTTGTTTAACTGTGATTCCATTGTTGGTATATTTGAGTTATACCCCATCCTTTCTCATAGGACATCAGCAAGAAATAACATCTCACCTTAATTGTACTGGGTAGGATACAAGACCATGGATTTCCACCTCTACACTACATAATTAAATTTTGTTTGCACAGTTGAAGGGTCTAATCAAGAGTGGCATTGCTAAACATGGGAAGCTGTCATGTATTTTCAGAACTATTGGGAAATATGAGTCTTGATGCTCTTAAGAAAATTTACTTGTTTCCATTATTTATATTATATCTTTTCTTTCAGCTTATATCCGTTTCCATCTAATCTCACCGTTGATCCAGCAATCTGCCGAAAAGTAAGAGCCACCCTCTTTTTTGTCTATTCTGTTCTTTGAATTGCTTTGTTTTGTGCTGGAAAGAATATTTCAAATTAACTTTTTTTGTATCAGAAGCAACTTAAGAAACTGTAAGTCGCTTCTGGTGTGAGAGAACTGGCCGTCTGCAAGGACGTTGCCCAGGAGAGGCCCAGATGTTTGATGTTTTACCATCCTTATGGGAGGCTCCTCTCATGTCCCCAGATGGGGAGCTGGAGCTGACAGAGGGAGCTCAATCCTCTCTCTGGATTCGACCACTCACCTATTGTTCAGCAGTCTTGTCAGCACAAGGATTTAAACCATTGCGTCACTAGAATAGCTGAAACTATTTAACTAATAGCTTTTGTTTAGCATATCATAAGCCCTTTGTATTAGGGATTATGGTATGTCACATCTTGTATTATTCACCCCCCAGGGGTGATAAAAGCTTTATATAAATGAAGTAAATGAAATATTATTATTAATAAAGAACTGGAGATAAAAGGTGGAAGTGATCGTAATAAATACCGCATTTTCCATTGCACCACATTGGATTGCTAGGAGTTGTACGCCAAAACACCTGGGGACCCACAGGTTGCGAACCACTGGTCTAAGGTCCTGGTAGTGTATGTTGTTTTTATAAATAAATATGTTGTCTTTATGGAATATTGTGCTTGAATGAACTGTATACCTGCAAAGAGTTTTATTATGACTGGTTGTCATTCAGATTCTTGTATGGTTGTTTTTAGTGTGGTCCTTTTTGATACGTTTGTGAACATTCTTGCCCACAATCTGGCTGAACCTGCCTATGAAGCAGATGTTGCTCAACTGGAGTACAAGCTGGTTACTGGAGAGCATGGATTAATAATTCGTGCCAAAGGATTCAATCACAAACTACCAGTAAGTGTTGTCAAAGTTTGGATTTGGGGGAAGTGTCATTTCTGAAAGCATACCATACTGGATATAAATTTTTTTGGGCTGGAATGGAGAACTATATTCTCTTGAAGTGTGAGTCTGTTGGCACCTGGGAAAGTTCGTAGGGTTGAATGAAATCACTGTTGTTATGAATTATTATCTGCAATCTGGTTCTTTCTCCATGGAGAAAGAGAGGGAGCAAGGGAGAGTGAAAGAGAGGGAGAGGGAGTGGGAGAGAAAGGCATTGAGCAAAGGCGATTTTGGGGGAATGCTTGCCCTGTCCCCTTACAACTATAGAAAGAACTTCCAAATCTTTGCTTCAGACTATTATACTTTAAATTTCTGTTGTAGCTGCTGTTCCAACTCATCATTGATTATTTAGCTGACTTCAGCTTTACTCCAGAAGTTTTTGAGATGATAACTGAGCACCTGAAAAAGACCTACTTCAACATCCTCATCAAGCCAGAGACGCTGGCAAAGTAAGTGCCTAGAATGCCTAAAAATCGAATGAGTGTCGAGATTGAGATAATGGATTACAATTAACAGCAGGCTTGAGTAAAAGGGAAGTCTATGGAAAGAAAGTCACAGTTAATATCTCAAATTTGTGGAAATCTGCATAAACTTGTTTCCTTTTGCTTTTCATTAAATGTTGGGCTTTTCTGGGGGTATTTCAGTATATTAGGAAATGAAGTAGGTAAAGGGCACTTGGAAGAAACAGCAGACATATTTTCTCTATTTTTGGGTAGAGCAGGATGACTAGACATTGGTTTAGGATCTTTGGAAAGAAAGCCTTAAGGTAATGCAGGCGACATGCATACTGACCACCTTCACCCCCATGCCCCACCCCCCATGGAAGAGCTGCTCCCAGTTATTCTCTCACACAAGAGTTGAGGTTGTCATTATTATTATTACAATGCTTATTTATACCCCGCTTTATCTCTCTTGCAGGAGACTCATAGCAGCTTATATTAAACATATGAACACACAATTTAAAATACACAAATATGCAAACATTGAAACAGAATTAAACATAACAGTATTAAAAATTCACAGTTAAAATCGATCAAAACATGTTCAAAGCTAAAAATTATAGCACCTTCCAACTTGATTTTAAAAACCTTTAAAAGCCTGTCTGAATAAGAAGGTTTTCGCCTGCCGCCAGAAGGACAGCAGGGAAGGGGCCATTCTGGCTTCCCTGGGCAGAGAGTTCCAGAGTCAAAGGGCAGCCACCTAGAAGGCCTGCTCTCTTGTTCCCACCAACCGAGCTTGAGATGAAGGTAGAACCGAGAGAAGGGTCTCTCCTGAAGATCTCAGGACCCGGATAGGTTCATACAAGAGGCTGTGGTCAGCCAAATAGCCTGGACCCGAACTGTCTAGGGCTTTAAAGGTCATAAACAGCACTTTGAATTGTGTCCAGAAACAGACTGGCAGCCAGTGAAGCTGCTGCAACAACGGGTTTGCCTGCTCCCTGTAGCCAGTCCCAGTTAACAACCTGGCTTCAGCTCTTTACTCGAGTGTGATGCATACCTCTAAATTATGTCTCAAACATTAGGGTGTGCATTAGACCTGATGGTGCATTATAATCGCACACCCAGACCCACCGGTTGGTAGCTCTTCTACAGCGCCGCCTCCCCCCAACCAGCCAACTAGTGGGACTCTGCAGCCACCAACCCTTCCCAACCTCTTGGTTTCCTGGTTCCCTTAAGTCCCACGAAAGCCCCAAATGTCTGCTGCCCACTCACACATATGGCTCCTCTTCTCCCACCGCCAACCCAAGTCTGAACCTGTGCAGTCCAAAAGCACCGTCCCTTTGGAGAGTTGGAAAGGCACTGATCCAAGCAGAATGCAGCCTTCCTCTCTTTCTTCCTCTTTGCTTTCCCCTTCTTCTCCTTCTTGCAACTCCTTTTCCCAGGGTTAAAAGTGAGGGCAAGAGAGAGAGGTGGAAGCTCAGGCTCACTCTACAGAACAGATTTGAAGTTGCTCCCTCCCTTCCTTGAGCCCAAGCGAGGCATTGTTAGTTCTCTGCCTTCCTCCCATTAAGCTTCTGGTGAGATCTGCTTTCTTGAGCTCATTGCCAATCATGAACTCAACAGGAGGACACATTACATCCACCAGCAAATCCTTATTTGCCTGTCAGGCTTAAAAAAATTGAAGTGTACAGTAAAATCAGTGGTGCCTTATACTCAAGTAAATACGGTATATGACAGGTTTCTAGTGTGAGAAGATCTGGTTTCATAAAAACGAGGGCAGAAACATGAGGCAAGACCTGAATAAACACACTGGCACCTGTATAGTTTTTGTAGCCCATTATAGTTTATATGAGGAGCTCCAGAGGCAAGCCATTTTCATTGAATACATGTCTGTCTTCATTATAGGGATATACGTCTCTTAATATTAGAGCACGGCCGGTGGTCTATGACTGAGAAATATGAGACACTCATGAAGGGCCTCTCCATAGATTCTCTTCTGTTGTTTGTGAAGGCTTTCAAATCTCAGCTCTTTGCAGAAGGTTTAGTCCAAGGAAACTTCACAAGTCATGTAAGTATACATTTCATGTGCTTGCTTTGCTTCTCTGAATTGTCCTGTCTTTTTCTCTTAAAATAGATTTTTAGTTCCGCTGAGCTAGGGCAGTGCAGTAACACAGCAGCTAATTCTGATCTCTTTGTTGACTTTTATCTATTCATAGCTGATTTATTTCTAGAGAGAACATGTCTCTTGGATTTTCTAGGTCTCCCAATGCAATTCTGTAGAAATTGTCCATAGAGTCGTGCTGGAAGACCTAGAAATTCCTAAAGGTTTTCTCTCAGGTAAAAATATCGAAATGTCTTTATTTGCAGTTTATCACTTTCACAGGGATCCTGCAAACCTTGTATTTTTATAATCTCATGCCTGGCCAGTGCAGTGAAATAGAAATGGTTTATAATTGTAGCTTGGCAGTGAATGTAGGGTTGAGTGAAGATCTGAAATTCCTTCAACACATGGACACTTACATGTTATATGTTTTATGTAACCAGTTTATTTTCTGATTGGGAGCTTTTGCAATACTGTCATTTCTTCATGTTTTACAAGTTTATCGCTTTCATTCTAGGAATCAAAAGAATTTCTGGATTATGTTGTGGAGTGAGTATTTTCCTTTCATCATGAAAATATTACATTAGCCATGAAATATAGTGAGAACTAGAGAAAATATACTTGGTATTGTTGAATCACAAGAGTTTAAATATTCAAACTTGTCAAAGCAGTATTTCTGAAAACAGAAGCAAGCTTGTGCATTTTGAAACACTGATGTTGCAGCAAGTTTCATCAGTGGTTTCTATTGTCTGTTCCAAGAATGGACATGTGCCAGTCATTGAAGGAGTGCATTGGACCCTTGAAAGGAGTTCAGAGGCTTTGTGCTCTTCCTGTATCCTTACACAGAATTCTCAAACCTTCCCCCCCCCCCCCCKAAAAAAAATGTTTTGGCTGTAAAAGTCCCTCATGTCCTTAGGTAAAAGTAGGAGGAAATCATGTCACATTTTTACTCTTCTATCTTGGCTGTTGTAATGAGAAGGGAAGCCTTTGTTTCGCCAGGAAATGAAGCAACATTAATTTGTATTATTGCAGTCTTGAGGTACCCCAACTAGGCTCTTACGCAAAAGACACAGAATTCTAAAGCCAGGAATTTGATTACTGAACAAAGTTCACTATCTTTTCCTGCCCAATTACCTTATATAATCTTAAAGTCAACATCATGTTTTAAGGCAGTGGGTCTGGAAATGCTTTTCTTAATTCAGAAGTAGATACACTTGCTGATGTATTACAAATCATTGAGTGAGCCACCTTTAAGTTCAGATCTCCTTTCTGCCTATCCTTGGTCTAGATGACTGTTATGATGAGATAAAGAGAGTTTGTAGTTGACTCTGATGTTTGGACTCTTTTAAGAAAGCTGCAGTTCCTTCCACTCGTACATCCGTGTCCAGTGCAGTTCCGGGTGGTGGACTTGCCAAGCTGCCATCTGCTGTGCAAAGTGAAAACGCTTAACAAGGGAGATTCAAATTCTGAAGTCACAGTCTACTACCAGGTGCGGTGATGTCAAATATGGATGTTTCAGTTCGTTCCCCATCATTATTACTCTTTCTGCATACTATGGAAAAGTTCATTTTCTACTAGTGGATAAGAAGTCACTCAGAATCATGTAGCCTTTTTTCCCTCCCAAGCACAGCCAGGGCGTCACTAAATCAAAATAAAATCTTTCTCATTGGATCCTTAGCTCTTCTATGCAGGTTTGTCTACAGTTTGGGGGTCCTCTTTTGCCCAGAACAGGTTTTATCAGAGCTCATCTTCTCAGGGAATGCTAGTGTCAAAAGAGGGAGACTTCTTTATAAAAAAAAAAACTCCAAAGACACGGCTTACAAGAGACCTCATCCATTTGTCTTTCTTCCACGGCCTCTTTAAGTGAACTGGTTATGCTTTGGATTTGGATCATTTTGACCCATAATCTAGATAATAGGTACTTGAAAGGACTAAAATTATATAAGTCCTTTGTTTTTGTGGCTGATGCCATAAATTCTATCATGTTTGCAGCTTATGGTGCTGCTGCCTTGACAATAGCAAGTGGATCTATTGGATCTAAACAGTGGCATAGTCTAGAACAAATGTAGCTACACTGACCTTTGAGGGTTCAGAAGAATCGCTTAAAGAATATTTCTACAGAAAGTATTTATTATTTATTTATTTACTCTGTGTGTGTGTGTGTGTGTGTGTGTGTGTGTATGTTGGTTTTCTCACCCCTGGGGAGACTCAAAGCGGCTTACAAAAATAATGGCAAAATTCAATGCTTTTCATTCATAAACCAAATCATAAATCAAACAACAACTAAGTAATGGGAGGGAAAGTAGACAACACCGTCAATTTTCAAGAAGACGACTACTGAAAATTTTTGACTAATGTTATTGGCCCTTCCATAGTATCATATAGTTAGGGTAAAGCCATCAGCCAAAACAACAAAGCTAGTGGACCTGATGGGATTCCTGCTGAAATCTTTAAAGAGGGTGAACCTGAGCTGACATAACAATTCCACCAGCTCATTGAAAAAGTGTGTGCGGCCAAGAAAATCCCAGCAGTCTTCAGAGATGCCATCATCATCATCCTCTTCGAAAATGGAGAAAGAACGGAATGTGGAAATTATTGAGGTATCTCTCTTCAAACCTCTGCTGGGAAAACCCTTGCAAGAATCCTTGCAAACCACCTTCTACCTATTTCAGAAGACACCCTCCCAGAATCCCAGAACAGCTTCCGCCCCTCCAGAGGAACAGTGGATATGATCCTCACTACATGACAGCTCCAAGAAAAATGCAGGGGACAAAACCAACCTCTATACATGGCATTCATTGACCTCACAAAGGCATTCGACACAGTGAATTGCAGTGCTCTCTGGACTATCCTTCAAAAAAGCGGATTCCCTGATTTGTGAACATTCTGCATCTCCTCCATGATGACAACAGTCTTGGATAGCAATGGCTCCCAAAGTGACCCATTTAATGTGGAATCGGGTGTCAAACAGGATGTGTTATTACCCCAACCTTTATTCTCCATCTTCATTCCTATGATACTGTACCTTGTTGATGGGAAGCTTCCTACCTGTGTGGAAATCATCTATCGGACAGATGGCAAGCTATTTAACCTCATCAGACTGAAAGCCACAACAACATCTGTTACAGAACTCCAGTATGCTGTTGATAATGTGGCCTATGTTTATTCAGAAGAAGACCTAAAAACCACTCTAAACACCTTTGCAGAAGCATATGAAAAGCTTGGCCTCTCACTGAACACCAAGAAAGCTAAAGTGCTCTTTGAACAGGCACCAGCCAACCCCTCTGCAATGCCAGAAATACAGCTTAATGGTGTAACATTAGAAAATAATTTGCCATTACCGCTACATTGGCAGCCACCTCTCCACAAAAATCAACACTGAAATTCAACACCGTCTGAGCTCTACGAGTGCTGCATTCTTCCAAATGAAGCAGAGAATCTTTGAGGATCAGAACATTCATAGGGAGACCAAGATGCTTGTTTATAAAGCTATTGTCCTCCTGTCAGAGTGCAACAGAAGCTTTGAAGCTTAGAAGAATGGACACTTTGAGACTTCAGTAAAAGCAAACGTATAGCTTTACTGAGTAGAGCAAATATACAGCACACACTCGCATTGACACCCAACCAAAAAGACAGAAACAAGACAAAAGCACCGAAGTAAGAAGGACGAACAAAATCTTACCTCTGGATCCTCCCTACGCGTTCCAGGCACACTCAGGGTCACAACTTCACAGTTCATTAGACGCTTGACTGATTAACCCTTTCAGTGTCAATACACTCTCTGCTAATGCAATCAGGTTACAATCACAGGCATTACACAAAATTACATTTAAACATTCACATTACACTAATCTTACATTAACACTCCCAACCCTGTTAAATACCTATGAAATGTGGACCATCTACAGATGTCACACTCAACTCCTGGAATGATTCCATCAGTGTTGCATCAGAAAAATCCTGCAAATCTCTTGGGAAGACAGGCAGACAAATGTCAGCATGCTGGAAGATGCAAAGACCACTAGCATTGAAGTAATGATCCTCCACCATCAACTCCGCTGGACTAGCCATGTTGTCCGGATGTCCAGTCACAGTCTCCCAAAGCAGTTACTCTACTCCCAACTGAAGAACAGAAAATGGAAGGCTGGTGGATGGCAAAAGAGATTTAAAGATGGTCTTAAAGCCAAACTTAAAAACTTTGGCATAGACAGTGAGAATGGGGAAGCCCTGGCTCTTGAGCGCTCTAACTGGAGGTCAGCTGTTACCAGTCGTGCTGTAGAATTCGAAGAGACATGAATTGAGGGCAAAAGGGAGAAACATGTCAAGAGGAAGGTGCGTCAACCAATCCTGACCTGAACTGCCTTCCATCTGGAAACTGGTGTCCTCACTGTGGAAGAACATGCGGGTCAAGAATAGGTCTCTACAGTCAAATTTTCCAATTATCACAGGGAGAGAAAGTGAGGTGCAATCTTGTGAACAGGGTCACAGAAAGCAAAACAAACATTGCAGGGCTGTCATCCCTTCCCTTTGTGTGTGTGCTTGCACTTGGGTATGTGACTGGAGCTACACTTAAAAATGTACCTGTTCCAACTTACAGATGCATTCAACTTAAAAACAAGCCTACAGGATCTATCTTGTAACTTGGGGACTTCCTGTACTTGATGCAAAAGATGATACATTTCTTATCCTGAAATGTTTACATTGGTTGTTTTGCTTTTTAAAAATGATTCTGTAAAAACCAAATAGCATGGGAAGGTGCTAAACTTTTGTACTTTAACAAGCCATTTGGGGTGAAGGATTGTTTTTTTTTTATGACAAATGACAGAGATACGTAAGTACTTGAGAAGAACACTGCTAGACTTAACCAAAGCTAGTCAAGTGTTCTGTTTATGCATTTACTATTTTTCCAAAATTGCCCCAAAACTGAGGAACTTACAAAGACATTGATAACACCCTGGCCAAGGGGTACACTTTAATCTGTCTTTTGCCAGAATTAAGAATCATTTCAGGAAAGTAGAAACCAGGGCAGCTAGAGGCTTCTGAAAGTCACCGTTATGTGGTGGAAGCTTCCTTGTGTTGCTGAATGTGTTCCATGTATATGTTTTAAAGTAGCTTTTTTGACAGTTGTTGAGTCTAGTGTGATTTTCCATAATGGACTTACAATGTACTTAATGATTTGATTACTGTTAGTTTGATTCCTGTTGGGTGAGCTGGCAGAACTGAAGGTATGTGGATTTTGTGGTCTATGAAATCTGTCTCTTTTCATCTTTCAGTCAGGAGCTAGAAGTTTAACAGAATATTCTCTCATGGAATTGCTTGTGGTAAGTTGGATTGCTTCTCAGAAGTAGCTTGGGTATCATATGATTTGTACAATTGCAGTAATAAACACCACTGCACTTAACACTAATGTGGTGTCTATAAAGACACTGGTGAAATGTTGTATTATATTGGTTTGTGGTGAAATTGTATTGAGAAAGTAGATGGGGAGATCTGGGAAAGAGGGGCAGAAGAGTGATTCCTACAACTATGTGATACCTAAATCAAACATGTTGCTGTTTGAAACTTTGCTGTTTTCTACAGGCAGAAAAATACTTGTGATTCTTAGCAACTCAAGTGTTTTTTTATTTGTATGCACATCCACAGCATATACATTTTAACCTATCCACTAGTACATTTTATAGATAAGCCTAGTAGACTTGTGCAATTCGGGTAAACCTTGATCTGTCGTTTTTCAGGAGCCTCCTGAATTTGGGAGGACAGAAATCCATTTTTGATCCGGGAAGCCAAAAGATTCATTTTCAATCTGGCCTATTGGCAGCAATTGGGGGGGGGGGGGTTGAGATTTAAGGCAAGGGCTTAAGAACCCCCATTTCCTGTGATCCTTTCCCTTGTCTCTTTAGAGAAGACCCAGGTTTAAGGTAAGGGCTTAAGAAACGCCGCTTCCTGCGATCCTTTCCCTCCTCTCTTTAGAGGGGACCTAAGTTTAAGGCAAGGGCTTAAGAAACTCTGCTTCCTGTGATCCTTTCCCTTCTATATATAGAAGAGACCTGGGTTTAAGGCAAGGGCTGGAGCCCCTGGTGGCGCAGTGGGTTAAACCCCTGTGCCGGCAGGACTGAAGACCAACAGGTCGCAGGTTCGAATCCGGGGAGAGGTGGATGAGCTCCCTCTATAAGCTCCAGCTCCTCATGCGGGGACATGAAAGAAGCCTCCCACAAGGATGATAAAAACATCAAATCATCCGGGCGTCCCCTGGGCAACGTCCTTGTGGACGGCCAATTCTCTCACACCAGAAGCGACTTGTAGTTTCTTAAGTCGCTCCTGACACGACCAAAAAAAAAAAAAAAAGGCAAGGGCTTAAGAAATTACCCTTTCTGGGATTGTTTCCCTTTTGGCAGCTGCCCGAAAGCAGCTGGGTCTTTGACAACCGCTGTTCTGTTGTGGCAGAAAACAATTGGCATGCAATTACGAGTGTCTGAAACAACCGAACCAGCCAAATACTTTTTTGAAAACGGATCCATGGACAAGCCTGAAGTCTAGACCTTCTGTGTACAGTTTAGATATGGCCTGATCTTAGTAGGTATAAGTAACGTGATACATCATTCCTTGGGCAGTTTACTTGTCCTGAACTTTAGGGTACAGCAAACCAAAGGTTGTTTTTATTGGAAGATAAAGGGTAAAGCAAAGAGCCTAGCTTACTGGAAATTATTGCATTACAGATGTACATGGAGGAGCCTTGTTTTGATTTCCTGCGAACCAAGCAAACCCTTGGGTAAGTTCCAATTCAGTTGCTCTTTGACTTACGGAGATGGGGCGGAATATAAATAAAGCCGTTGTCTCCTCCTCCTCCTCCTCCTCCTTATGAGCCTGTCATAAGAAGACCCAGGTTTAAGTCTGCTCAGGTCTTGCAAACTCCTCAGGACTATGGTTTCCTTGATTAAATTGGTTCACCTATAGTGTGAACTCCCTCCTGCCTTCCATTTTACTAAGCTTTATTGCCTTTTATGCTGAGCTATGACTTCCCAATGGTATATCTGAAAGAGAAGTTTGTCACCTTGGCTTCTAATGAGAGTTCAGGTCTGATTTACTCCAGGGCCCAGTTTGTGGGTCTACTAGAAGTAAGTAATCAGCAAAATCAAAAGCCTCTGTACCATGTTAATGTTGAATCTATACTATTACTATACCCAGTGGGTATAGAAATACCCACTATAGCATGAATAAAGTATTTGTACAACAGCAGGGAACTTCTCCCCATTTCCCCAACCTCTCTCTTGACCACTTCTTACATCATTGTAAAGGAATCCCCAATTCCTTTGTAAAGGAATCCCCAATTCCTAAAACTGTAGTAGTCAGTGTGAACACATAGTGGTTAGGCATGTGCAGAAAGAGGGGGAAAAATCATTCCTCTAGACATGTGTCAGCTGGACAGGCATTGAGGAGTTAACTGCTCAGTGTAGACCAAGTACCTGTCCAGCCAGCCCAAAGGTCATTTTCTGGGCTGTTGTACTAAAGAAGGGCCAATGGTGTATGCTATTTAAGCTGGAAGCCATATTACTTTGTTCTCTTTCTGAACTCTCTCTTGATTGTTTCTCTATGCTGTGAGCATTTCCTGGTAAATAGCTAAGTGTTTAAGTAACCAAAACAAGAAATAAAACTTGCCATCAAGGTCGCTTGATAGAAGAAACATTTCCATAGTGTTTGATTTAAAGACAGCAGCAGAGATAGATAAGGCTCAGTAAAAGAGGTCTGGCTGAATTTGTTCATGCCCCAGAATAGATGAGATTGCAGGTTCATCCAGGGGTCAGATGAATCCCACGTGCCTTGGGGACCAGAATACTCCAGAATTATCTATCGGGGTGGCTAAGATAGTGACACCTTTCATTTCAGTGTATTTAATACACGAAATTATAAAAAATGTTGTCTATAAAATTGCCTTCATGCTATGTGTATAAGGTATTTTTATGAAACATAATTGCATTTCATGTTTAGACTTGAGTTCCATCGTCTTGATACCTCATTGCATACATATATGCAAGGAAAATCCCCCAAAATCCAAAACGCTTCAGGTTTATGCATTTCAGATAAGGAATGCATAACTGTAATTCTACCCACAGTAAAATAGCATAATACAAACATTTTAAAGGCATTCATGGAGTGATTTCTTTTTCCTCTGTCTCCTATCCTTTTCCTTGTTTTAGATATCATGTGTACCCTACATGTAGGAATACATCCGGGATCCTTGGCTTCACTATTACGGTAGAAACACAAGCAACCAAATACAAGTGAGTGACATTTTTATTTTCCTGTTTTGTGCAATGCATCATTCTTTAGTCACTGCAGTAATTCAGCTCCCAAAACTGTTAGTGTTGCAGTTCAGATGGTTTTGAGGAATATCTCTGCAGACAGAGGCTGCTCCCTTCCCTTCTTGGCCATATAGAGACCAAGACAAGAGACAGTAAAATGTTAACAGCAGTAAAGTAACTCCTCTTGGATTCCAGAGTGTCTCCATCCCTTATGACCCCTCAGGCCCCTTTCCTAGGCAGGTAACATTGCATTTCTCAAGAAATCCATGTACTACTGTATCTAGAAAAACTTTTAGGTGCTGTATAGGTGAATCTCAGCCAAATATTGTCCTAAAGAAAAAACGTTTGCCTTTGTTTGAAGGTAGAAATCTGAGTTACATTCCAGTCTTCAATTTGCTCTAACACTGTCACTTTACATTTCCTATATGATTTTTTAAACATCTTTTGCCTGACAAAGAAGCCAATGGATCTTCAAAATCTTGCATGATGTGTCTTGTGTGTTCTGGTTGTCCAGTAAAGTTATTGCTTTTTTGTGAATTTTGGATTTCCAAAAGCAAGATTTAAGCGTACCATTCCTTTCTCAAAAGACAGGATTATACTTTTGGTATAATTCACTCCCTCTTGCTATTTGGTACAAACTTGTGTGTATGTCTTATTTTTTCAGTTCTGAATTTGCAGATAAGAAGATAGAAGAATTTCTTCAATGTTTTGAGGAAACAATCAAGAATATGACTGCAGAGGCCTTCAATACACAGGTAATAAGAGTTAAATTTCCTAGAACCAAAACCGATATTTTAACAGGTTGTTGTCTTCTTTTGTATTTATATATTCATGCATCAACCAAGTTTCAGGTATATTATGCTTATTCCGAGACACCGATTTTCACTTTTGACTTACTTAGTTTAACCCGTGTATGCTCTGCACGTGAGAAATGGTAGTGGGACTCAGCATCCCAGTTCTTACCTACCTTAATGTACCTAGTGGAGAGCCTGTTTTGTTCAGGATATCCATGTCATTTTAAACAAAGTGTGAAAAAAGTTTCACCCATAGATGTGGCATTCTGCCTCAAAAGTTCCCAAATGCACTCCTTGGGCACTTTCACCATGTTTGAAGGGTCCCTGGGCCCCTATTTTCACCACATTTTGTGACACACACACACATAGAGGTACAACCCAGGGCTTTTTTTCAAACAGTAAATTATCAAGAAATGTCTGCTCACTTCCTGTTACTAGAAAGGCCTCTCCTTGGTTTAAAATGGTCTAGAAAGGCCCTTAAATGTGATGAAAAATCCCTCCATGCACCCTAGACATTTCAGGGCAATTTTTCACATTTGTTTGTGTGTGTGTGTGTGTGTGAGCAGGTATGAAGGAAAGGTGCCATCCTCTTGTCCCCACCCCTGCTTATATCAGTATTGAAGGCGATGATGTTATCATTGAAAGTATACATATTGTAAAACACAGGCAGGGAAAGTATACCCTGTAAGCCTCACGTGATCCTAATTGTCTCCAAAAACCCAGACAAAAAAAAATTCTTGGCAAAATATTATCCATGCATCAACATTTGCTACCTTGTGATGCACTGTTATGCCTTAAAAATTACTACTCTTGATCTCCAAAATAAAATACAAAGCTTTACTGTTATAGGTCCTAGAATAAGGGAACTATCCAGGACTCTTATATTCAGTTTCCATAGAGCCCTGCAAGACTTGACAAAAACAAGGCTGTTGGTGTTGCTGAGGTGGGAATGAAGAGGAAATGCATGGTTTTAGGAATTAGCACATTTTTCAGTTCTGTGTATTTTGGGTCCAGATAATCTTACTACTGCATTATTACTGTTTAATCAAACTGCATCTTGAAAATATTATACATACACACACATGTATATATACATACACACACTTTAGCATCCTACCAAGTGGCCCCTAACCTCACCTAACTGTCAAATAACTAAATAAGATATATATTTTATATTTATATTTTAGCTCCACTGGCTGCCAATCTACTACACAATTCAAAGTGCTGGCTTTAGCCTATAAAACCGTAAATGGTTCTGTCCCAGCTTATCTGTCCAAATGTATCATCCTCTATGAACCACAGCGGAATTTAAGAGGCCCTGCTGTCTGCCCTGCCTCCCTCGCAGGTGCAATTGGCGGAAACGAAACAGGGTCTTCTCAGTGGTGGCCTCTCGGCTATGGAACTCCCCAGGGATATCAGATCAACCCCCTCCATCCTGACCTTTCACAAGAGAGTGAAAACATGGCTTTCTGACCGAGCCTTTAGAGAACTTGTGCAATAGACAGACTTGGAACATTGTGCAATGACCATTGGAACGGCCTGGATTACACTTGTAGATAACATATTTAACTCTGAATGTATTATTTTTAAGTCTTAATTGTTTTTAATGTACAGTTTAATTGTTTTAGTATTTATTTACATGTACATTGTTTTAAGGGATCAAATCATTGCCTATATGTAAAGTCACCTTGAGTCCCCTCCAGGGTGAGAAAGGGTGTGTATGGAGGGGGGGGGAGGAGATAGAAATGTCGTAAATAAAATAAAAAATAAATAATATATTTAGCGTACTGAACACTTAAGGCTGAGTGATTGCTATTATTTGAAGGGAAGCAAAATGCAAGTGACAATGTTTCAATCTTTGTCTGCCTTCAGGTTCATGATTGATTTACAGATTTGTAGGTTGAAATTGTAGCACTTTTATAACTCAAAACTGGAATAGTTCAATCGTCCTGTGCCACATAGGTTCACTTCTTTAGAATATTCAAATATGCCAAAATAAGAGGAGAAATAGTATCTTGTTCTGTAATGAAATTGTGTCTTCTCCACCACAGGTCACAGCTCTCATTAAATTAAAAGAATGTGAAGATTCTCATCTTGGTGAAGAGGTGGATAGGAATTGGACAGAAGTGGTGACTCAACAGTACCTGTTTGACAGATTAGTTCGAGAGGTAAAAGGTCTTTCTAAAATTTAACCCCAGAACTCCTCTGTAGGCCATGCGTTAAATTAATATCTCAAAACTTGTAAGAATTAAAGTGAATCGCTAATAAGAAATATGTATTCAGTATGACAGGATAGCAGCCAAAACAGGAATTCTGAGGAAAAAATATGCCAATATGCTAAGAAAAACTAGAAAGCCTTCAAAAGTATAAACTAAACAAAATATATTCTGAGAATTGAGCATGGATAGTTGAAGAAGTGCCACAGAATATTGAGTTTCATTTGAAAAAGAAAAAAAGGGAAAATTGGATGTGAAAGAAAAGAATATGAATTCCAATTTCCTGAAGGTAGGCAGGACTGGCTTGACCTTGGATCAGGAACATGGATGTTCAAGTTACAAGGATGCACAGCAGCGTTTTATTGCTGTCATTGCACACCATATTTGTGTATGTCAGAATATTGAGGAATCTTGCTGTGTTTACATAAATGCCATCATCTCACTACCTCCCTGTGACTGAAACCTATCACTGATCTGTTGTGAGACTCCAACTCATAGGAACAGCTGTTTGGAGTTTTTCCAGTTCTCTAAAACATTGCTTCTTAAACTGTGTGAGTCCTAACCCCAAATGGTGTCCCCTTAGCTCAATGTTGGGAGTCACAAAAAGGTTTGCAACAGTAAAAGTTTCCTGAATCCACACATTTACACAAATCTGTTAGCAACAACATGCAAGGTTTACAGCGGACTGTGCAGAAAATGCTTCAGTGTACTCCACAAAACAGGGAACCATCCTGTTTAGCCAGCCCGTTTTCAGTACATGTTTGGTTTTTATACTTTTTAAAATATATCTGGGGTCATGAAAAAAATTTCGGGTGAAAAGGGATCATGAGTAGAATTCTTTTTTAAGAAGCCCTGCTCTAAAACAGGAGTAAGAAATGTGTGCCATCTATTCCTGGACTGCAGTCCAGCGCTGGAAAAAGCCAATAAGACGTTAACCACAGCCATGTCCCCAGACTGAAGGCTCAAATAAGTTCATGTTGGACACTAGGCGCTCTCTCCAATCAAATGGAAAGGGCTCAGACTTTGGGACAATTCCAACATTATTAATACATGTGTAAATATTGTATGTGTTTTGACAATTTCATTTTGAACTAAACATGTTCTTTTCTTTCTTTTTAAAGATTGAAGCTCTAAAATCTCTTTCTCAGTCACAATTAGTTGACTGGTTTCTAGCACACAGAGGCAAAGAACGCAAAGTGCTTAGTGTACACGTGAGTATTCATGACAAAAAGACAATTTTAAGGGTGTGCTTAAACTGTGCTATTTTGGAAATCTTTTTTTAAAGTGTGAAGAATTTTATATCTTAGAACAGGAGCAGTGAATTCCCTTTAAGCTATATTCCTTTCAGGGTTCTATGCTAGGAATAAACCATGTAAAAGCCAGCAATGTTTAAGTCCATTCTTATCTTTCTTTACCTCTTGGCATGCTGAAAGACACAAATCATGATTCTAACATGCTGAACTGTTGGGCTTTAGAATTTTGGCAAGGCCCTCTTGCCCCTCAGTATTTGTCCAACTTCCAAGTAAAATGGTTAAAGTGTGAATTAAACATAGCAAATCACTGCAGGTCATTTTTTGCTATTTAATGGGAGTCTGAGGTCCTAGTAGAAAAATTAAGACTATTCCGATGTTGAAAAATACATAATTGCTGGCAAATTTTGCAAAAAGGCTGACAACTCTCCTCACTTTGAAATTATAGGTGGTTGGATTTGGAATCCACGAAGGTGACCCAGAAACTTCCTCTCCCTCAAATATGCACAGCCTCTCATGCAACGACATACCTCAGCTAGAGTTCTTGGATGCTTCTTCTCTGACAGATACAACTTGTATCAAGGAGATCAAAGTGTATACGTCATCTCTGAATGTTCTGCCGTACCACAAGATATTAAAATAATACATTTCAGACTGCCATAATGCGTAGTACAACTTTAACTACTGAATATTGGGGAAGTCTGCTTTACTACAGAGAATCCAGTCTACTTAAGCTTTTCTGGAAAATATGTAATTGAATACCCTTCATGCTCAACTGTGCAACAAGGCTGTATTTTCAGAGGCAGGTATATAGAGAGCTATGTTCTTGGTAAAATGTATGCAATATGGAAGGCGGAGGAAAGTGAGCAGACTGAAAAACTTGTGTAATGTAGTGGGTCTTTCTTCTTTGAATGATATTTTACTTGGAGATAATGGGGACAGGAAGAGAATGAGGAGGAGAACTGATAGATATGCAAGTGGACTTCTAAGTTCTCAATTAACTGTGTGCTATTTTAAGGGACAAAAGTGATAAATCAATTACTATCAGTGTGTTTTAGACTTCTTTACATCAATAACGTGCTTCTGTACAACAGTTCAGAGCAAGAACTCTGCTAGCCTCATGGAAAACACAAATGATAAAAAAATACAAAGGCTTGTGCATGAGGTAGTTCAGGATGAGTACTCTCGAGATATTATGTGCAATAAATTAATGACTGAGATAATTTTGTGGAGGTTGTTCCAATATAACAGAATCGTTCTTGACATCCATTTTGAATCATTAATTTTTAAAGATTTAGAATTTGAAGAAACACTGGTAGATTGCTTCGCGAATGAAATAAAACAATGTTGAACTACAAAACATTAGAAGCGGTCTGGTAACGTTGAAAAGCTACATCCATTAATAATTTGGCCCAACTTAGTCTGCCGTCGGAATACAAATTTCAAAGCAGAGGTTGATCCAGCTGCATATGCACAGCTTGTATTAAATCTTTCTGCACGAGAGGTGGGGAGTAATCTGGGCAAACACATTATCCCTTGTGCAAATTGATTCTGATTTTCAGCAGACTTTTAAAAAACAACTTGCCACATCTTTATACCTGTTTCTCTTACCTTTCATACCTAAACACAACCAGAGTACAAGCTTGTGGTATACACACACTTTAGCATAGCTGTCTTAATTTTTGCAAGCAAAAGAAAGACTTGCTCCCTCCCTTATTTGACAATGTCATAAAAAGAGCTCATGCTTCCTTTTTTTTGGGAACCAAATTGAGATATTATAATGTGGCAGAAATTAGACCCGTAAAAAGGAACTCCCGATAAATGTAGAGTTAGCATCACAGCTTAATGTTGTACATGTCTGTGGAGGAAATGCTCACCTACATGGTATCCTAGATCATGTGATGATGATGCTTTGAGTTTGTTTTTTGGCTGGACTATTTCACGCTCTGAAAAATCACATTGTCTCATTACTGAACATCCTCAACCCGTTCGGAGCACTGTTTGAACTTAGCTATAATGCCATTTCAAAGCACTGTTGCCTTGAAAAGGATAGACTTTGAATAAAACAAAGCATACATTTGAAAATCTATTTTATGAAGCATTATATATGTACCAGCAAGAACCAAATGGTAATCTATAATTACACTTTAGTTTCTAAAAATACGAAAGTTATTTGAGGAACAATGTAATGCCAAAAGGTTTGATTTTCTTTTAAAATATGCTCATTGATAGATTATATTCTTGCATTTTTAACTGGCCAAAGAAATCTTTGTATTTACATGGAAATTAAGTGGCTTGGAATAAAGTTAAGCCATGTTGTATATATTATGTAGGGTGCTAGAATCATACATAGCTGGCATCAAATGCCACGCTGCACCTTTAATAGAGGTGGAGAGAACGTACACGACAGGGACTCAAGCCTAGGTTTTATTAATTCACCTAGAAGCATTGGGGAGGTCATACAGGAAAGGCCAATATAAATTACTGCTACACAGTCAAGGCTCTTCCTGCGTTAATTGTTCGCTGCATCAGAAAGTCCAGTATCCCTGAGATAAGGAACTGTAACTGGAGGAGGCAGGCTCTCCAAAAGAAGAGGACTTGGAAGTTATAATTCATGCCACTAAGCCAAGGAATGGCCCACTTAATATTTACTGGCAGCAAGTCGCTTGAGTAGAGGCTCATCGTAAACCCAGCATTCTCCATCTTCATGGAAAAGCTGTAAGAGAATAATATGCATTTAGTTGTCTCAGTAGAAATAAGAGAGATCTGTAAAGAATCTACCAGTTGAACAAGAACAGCATGTACCCGTGTCTCCCATGGAATCTCTTTCTCCTTCCTGGCTCTGGCTTCAGCTCTTTGTCTTTCTTCCAGCCTGTGTTTAGCATCAGTAGCTGCATCAATGTCTCTTATCTTCAAATTGTATGTGACATCTTTCCATAGGCTAGGAAAAATACAGAAAGAAAATTGTTTAATATTGCACCTGATCTACAAGCTACAAAAACTAAATCCAACTACCGATTCATGGATTGAAAAAGGAACCCTGTGATTGCCTTAAATAAGGGAATTTGGGAGGGGGGGGGGGACACGACGGACTTGCCACCAGGTAGGAGAAGAGTAAGATCACTAAATGGCCAAATACATTCCCAAATCTTAACAACCCACTTCCATCACATATTTTTCTATCAATGTCATTTTTTAAAAAAGTTTAAGCCAATTAAAACATGCTGATTATTTTTCATGAAGGTTCTAAAGGAAAACTGTTAAGTTCTTACCAGCGGGATTCATATTCTTCTTGGTCTTCTAGTTTTCTTACTTTCTTCTTAATGATAGGCATTTTCTTGGTATCTATAAAGACTACATTCTCCTAAAGAAAAAAAGCCTCTATTACTAATTACATTGTTGTAGCTTACATTTGCTCATCACCTACATTTTGACTATATCCTGACATCATTCATAGTTGCTGTATTGGTACTAAGACAAACACAACGCAGTCTAGTCAGAATGGTGTGTAATCATGAAAGTAACATCATAGCAAGGCATGCCATTAGCAGCCATGTCTCAGCATTAATGACTGACATTAACCCCAAAGTATAATTAATGTGGTCTGCTCTCTTAAGAGGCCCTTGGCATTAAAGCCTTGATTTCAGAGCAAAGGAAGGGAAAGTTAATCCACCCTTTGTTTAGAGCAGTGGTTCTCAACTTGTGGGTCCCCAAATGTTTTGCCCTACAACTCCCAGAAATCCCAGCCAGTTTACCAGCTGTTAGGATTTTTGGGAGTTTAAGGTCAAAACATCTGGGGACCTACAGGTTGAGAACCACTGGTTAACATAAACATTTTGGGGTGTTGTGTGTTTTCCAGGCTGTATCTGGGATTGTAAGATGGCTTATGGGCAATGCCAGCCGCAGATACAGGTGAAACGTCAGGAGAAAATGCTGCTAGAACATGGCCATACAGCTTGGAAACAACACTCCAGGGATTCTGGCTGTGAAAGCTTTTGACAATACAATGAACATTTTGTTTTACAGAGAAAAACAATACAACAACATACTACACAAAATAATAAAGTGTATTTACCCCCGTTGCATGTTTTGTATACATGACTCCATTCCATTCTCCTTCAACTGAGCAGAAGGCTTTCTTCTCATTGGGAGAACTAAAAGAAAAGATATATTCATTCTTACTTGATGCTTACAAAATACCATTAGAGTACCTTCAAATCAGCATAGCTTTATGCCAACTATTACTACAGTAGGACTCATATACCATAATCTTGATACAAGTATGATTTTTAAAGCTCATATATATACTTACAAGACTTCTGCTGTAATTCTGTGCTTTTTCCCTCCATAGAAAGGCTTTGTGTGGAAGGTTATGCTAGCATTGTAGCCTGTCTTGGAGCAGTTAATGCTACATTCCCCTCCCAGTTCTATCCATGGCACTGTGAGAATAGATCTGTGGAGGTAACAGAAGAGACCTTTCAAGAACCCAAAATTGGAATGTGAACTGCTTACAAAATGAGTGAAAAATATAAAGTATCACTTGCCTCCCATAACCATTGGGAAAAGTCAGAATATAGTGCTCATCATAATCTAGGCAAGATACACACCCTGTAATAGAGAACAGGTGTTACGATAATCCCTTTTTATACAGAAAAAAAACATAGAAGTCTTAATATAGTCACCTCAGAGATCTGAATTTTTTAAAAAAAATCAAAGATAGGATTTGTTGTCTTCTCACTTAAAAATAATGTAAGCAGGACTATAAAGCCCCCCTGCCCCTGATGCCCTGGCAACTGGTTAAACTAAAATTATATCATGTTTTAATAGCACCCAAAGAAGGTGACATTATTACACAATCAGACTGAAATAAAAAACCAGGAATGCCTGTACTATCGAACTCCAAATCTGGGTGCTATGCTCTTATTTCATTAGCATTGGGGGGGTGTTGGGTGTTGAGAGTGGCAAGGTCCAAAGCAATAGTATTTATTCAATATTGTTGCTGCATAGCCAGCACAAAACACTCAGTTTTATCTTGGGAGGTGTTTGGCAAGAAATAATAGCCAATTATACATTGAAATAACTTAAATACCTGGCAATACATAGCCATGTAAGTACAGATATCTCACTCTTTTAAATACTGGAGCCTGTCAATACAGCTCCATGCAAGTAGTGCAGGGCCAGAATCTTAAAATGAAAACTAAGATTCAAGGATTGTAATCCATTGGTGGCCACTGCCCAAGATTACTACCAGCCTTCACAGAACTACTTTCTCTTGCCAATGAAAATAGAATTTCTCACTAAACAGCATATGTACCAAGTGCTTTCCTTCTTTCTTTCCTCCCCTCATATTTTCCCCTCTTTCCTTTCTTCCATTCCTCCTTTTTATTTCTCCTTTCTCCCTTCTCCTTTTCTCATCCTTTTATTTCTTCCTCCTTTCCACTCGTTTTTCTCCCTTCTCCAGTTCTGAAAGGCCTACCACAATGCTTTCGTTGCTATCTTTGTGATTTCCTTCCTTCCTTTCCCTCACACACGTCATCTTTTATTCCAATGACATCACAAAGGGCCACTTGACCTAGCAACAACCAATCCAGTGATATGGCATAAGGCCACTTCACCTAGTAACAGCCTTTGTAGTACAGACAAACTTTGACTTTCATATGTGTGTGTATACATGTATACACACACAAACATACACATACTAGCATATACCTGGTGTTGCCTGGGTGTCAGAGGGGCCACTGCCCCCACTTCTTTCTCTTTCCCTTCCTTTATTCCATTTCCCTTTCCCATCCCTTCTTTCCTCCTTTATTCCCCCCCCCCCCAAAAAAAGCCTCCCTTTCCTCCTCCTCTCATTTCTGGCTCTTTCCTCCCATTTCCCATCACTTTCCTTACCCAGTGACATCACAGAGGGCCAGTCCTTCACCTAGCAACAGCCTTTGTAATGCAGACAGACAAAGAGACATACTTTAAGAGAAAAAGAGAGACATGCTGACAGTGTGGAAACTGGTGAGCAGATAAGTTACACATTTGTGACAAACATACCTTGGCCTATATTATGAACACCAATAGACATTCCCAGGAATTTTGACTTGGTCCAGATGTGGGCATTGAATTGGATTTTCTTGTTGGGGCATTCTGCATAAAATGCTGAAACTAAAAAGAAAAAAAGACTGTTAAAACTATAAAACTCTAATTTCAGCATAAAGCACTTGTGGTATGTAAATGGTTATTTGCTTCTTAAGAAAGAAGTCTGTAGAGGAAGCCGGGCTGCACTTTAAAAAAACACTGGTGACCAAATATCAGTGACTGAAGGATTTTTTTTTTAAAAAAATAACTATGCAGGGACATCAACTTACAACC